TGGCACGCAGACAAGACCGGACATTTTCGACGATGGCAGTCTCTGTGAACAGCCATTTAAGAAGCTCAAAGCCTTCACGGATGTTGGCAATATCGAGTCCATGTCCAAGGAACGATGGGGTGCTGCGAAGTGGGTTCGGGGTCAGACGCGGATCTACTGCTCAAACGACTTCGACGTGAAAACGGAGCCACCATTGGACCGACCTCTTTTGGACATCGAAAAGGGCATCGCTACCTATGTGTCGCACTCTGCGTTTATGAAGATGCTGGAGAATGCGTGGTGCTCCAAGGACTGTAACGACGCCAACATCATGGCTGTTCTGAAGCGCACGCATATCTTTGTCAACACATCCAAATGCCTCTACATCCGACCTGCCAGTGAAACCGAAGGCCCTGTGCTCAGGATTCCCCTAGGCGACAAGATTGACTTCCTTCATGTGGATTCCCGCAAAGTCTATGATTACCATCGTAAGGGTGGGAAAGATTTGCCTCAGGACTTTGATATGAAGGTGAACTGGGAGAGAGACTGGGTTACAAAAGCTATGACAGGCGACGTGAACTTGCCCACACGTGCCACAATCATCCGCCGTGGAGGTCTTTTCCAAAGTGCTCCTTCCACGTCTACTAACTCTACCGTCGAGCAAAACCATCGTCGTGTCAAGGACCTCTTGCACCAAAGCTTCGATGCTGACATCCACACCGCCGCCGCCGTCAGTAACGTCAAAGAGGAAGTGCCCACCAAGCGAGAGCTGGAGACTTCTGCCCGCGATACGTTCGCTAGCATCTGGGTTGATCCGAGATGTGCTGTTTACTTTGTTTGAGTAGGTGGTCAAATTCGCTTAAACCATGTAGACGATACTGATGTTATTGATTGCTTTTGGTTTATTTGTTTCTGAAAACTTTTCGAAATATGCACACTCAGGTAAAACGCGTCGTCTCGCGGCCGACTACGTTGGCAAAGCTATCCTCGTGGATGACTCCCCCAAGGCAGCCAAGGAGCCGGCAATCAAACAAGAACTCGTTTCGGCCTTCTCTCGCTCTTTGTCTTCCAGCAATATCGCCATCAATCTGGTGGACTCTCCCGAAAAACGCCCTCCAACGCTTGCGGCTTTCTCAGATGTGGAGCCAAGTCAAGATGATCATTTGGAAAGGGAGCTTGAAACGTTGATGGAGGCAGAGGATTTCATGGACTGCTGCACAGACGACGAGAACTTCATCGACACGCACATGGACCACACAAACAACGTGAACTGAAGGTTTCACGGTCAAAAACGTGTTTGGTGACAGTATAGGTCTCACACATTTTGCTCTCGTGTGGACTATGACATGCCTCTCGCAATTTAGTCATGTGAACAGTACACTACTTTAAAACTTCAATACATGCGAGACGAGCTTCTAGACGGCACTGTCTCCTTGACAAGCACAGCTGAGTGATGGCAACTGTCTGTCTCCGCGCGTCTGTGTTCAAAACCAAGTTTGTCCGAACGGATCCCCATGTCTGCTTGCGAGAAACATGCTATCTGTGCACATATTGACACGCATTCCCTCTGAGCGCAGGTTTGTGGCTCCTTGTCAAGCTTGTAGTTCGCGTCCTTACCCAAAGCCTCGCCAGCATGGGCAAACCCAATGGCAACTTTGTCCCGAAGAAAGGCAAGTTGCGCAAGGTGATGAAGAAACCCGCGGCATCCAAGGACACTACATGGAAATCCATTAAGTATGTCAGGGAGGCGACCGAAGTTACATCACGCGGGCAACGTAAAGATCAAATCAAATGGAAGCGAACACTACCCCAGCTACTCAAGGCAGACGACAAAACCATCATCAAGCTGCTCATTGCGGACAAGATCCTACCACGATTGGAAGGAAAAACATGTCCTAGGTTTTCCAACGGAGTACTGTTCAAGCTGTATGCAGACAAGAAGCGCAACAACGTCCTGAAGCACAGGTGCAACAACAAACATTGTCAAGCCCGCCTCAATCCTCATCATTTGCACCCGCTTTTCACAGAGGGACAAGGACCGCAGAAGCAGGGCTTGCAGATGCAGTCCGCCGTTCTTCTCTTGAGGCTCCTCAATGTCCCACAATCTGTCATTCACCTCGCCATGGGTACGAACCACAAGGCGGTGGAGGACTTGGAAACTGATTGTTTATAGTATTCATGTTTTCTTAGGTTTTTTATTGTTTTTATGTAAGACTTTAGTTCTTAACTTTACAAGATTTTAAGCATAACGTAAGTTTTTGACAACCGCGTTCATCACTAGTCTCCTCATAAATTTGCTTTGCTCACTTAGGACAAACGACTTTGCAAGCTTCGGAAAGACTTCGTTGAGAAGGAGGAAAAGAACATCGTTTTTGGCAACCAGAAAACGTGGGTGGACGTTGAGGCAGACGAGGCAACGTTCGACAAGAGAGACATCTCTCAAGATGCTGCTTTGAAACATTTGGTCACCAAAAAGAACGAGTCCATCATGTTGGAGCAGTGGGGTGGTGTCATTCAACGTGGCCGCCCTCGTAGTTTGGTGTTGCGAAAGCTAATCCCAAAGCTTACGGTGAAACGAGCACCAGGCCCAGGTGCCATCCGTAAGAGTGAATGGAACACCATTGCGAACGAACTCCTCCTGGACCGCAAAGTGATCCTTCATACGGGCTCAGCGAAAAGTTACAAAGCCAAAGTTCGGGGAGTTTTGCACGACAAAGTCGTACACTGTAAAAAACGGGTGAAGGTGAACGGCAAGTTCAGGTGGTTGAACCCCAAGTACGTCGGCATCGTGACCCACAAGATCCCTGGTACTGAGAAGAAGCTGAAAGTGAAGTCACGGACTCAAATCATCGATAGGGGTTTGGCGGTTTCTGAAAGATCGTATCGCCATGAACCAACACTGCAAAGCAGGCTCGTCGTTGTTACGTGCCAAGCTCCGCTCGGCGCAGTATGAGTATTGGTTCAAGAACCGAGACCTCTGGCTCGCCTGCGGAGACTTGTGCACAGAGGTCCTGGACAAACTTTACAAGTAAAGACTCACTGTAGAGCGTCCTATGCCATCACAGACCTGCGTCGCGACATCGCTTGAAAATGTTGGCTTTTGACAGTGCCGTCGTTTCTTTATGTTTTATATCTCTTATATTTCGTGAACAACAAAGGTGTTAATGATGAAAATGATGGTGGTGATGCTGGTGATGGCGACGATGCGGAATATTGATGTTGCTGTGTTTTTTTAACAAGACTATTCTTATAGCTTACGTCAGCATGCATGCTTTTGTTGTCGCTCTGTGTATGCATGTTTTCTCATTCAAGCACATATCTCAATTCATCGCCTCTTTGCAGTTTTCCGGCACAAGACTCTTTTCCTTGTCTCCACAGCCATGTCTGCGCCTTTCGGCCGCAAGCTGCCCATGGATGTCGCAGCACTCATCTTCCAATTTGGCGAGCGGTTATTGGGGCCGATCCCATCCGCACCCACTCAGTGGGAAGTGCGCGTTGGTACCCTCCCGAATGGCCGCCCGTCAAACCACAGCAATATATGTCGTGAGTTTTGGCTATTTGCATATGTCTCGCACATGCCAGCACGTGCTGAAAAAGTAGTTCCACTCATCAGGTGATGTGGTATATCGGCTCGGCGACCTCTTCTACAAGTCCACGCCGAACGGCGATAAGGAACTGACAGCAGATGATATGTTTTCCTACTGGTTGGATTAGCCGGCACTCGCGTCACAACCGTGATCGTGTGCAAGTACGTTCTGCCTGCATCGTGAGCATCAGGCATGATTGCATTGCAGTAGCTTACGTGCAGGCCTGCTGGGCTCAATTGCTTGCTTTATCATGCTGCCTCATTTGTCAATTGCTTCGAGTATGTATGGTATCACACAAGGAAGAGACCCAATAGAAACAGGGTAGAAGTTCGCGCCATGGCGACGGCCTCAGCACGAAGCAACACGGCTCCTGAAGCGGTTTCAGACGTTGTTCATCTCATGTGTTTCATGTTTCTTCATATCGGAATACAAAAAAACACAGACATGGTAGGCGCATGGGGGGGGTAGCATATATATACATACCTACTTGCCGGGGTATAGTAGGGAACTAAAGGTTAACCTTATTGGTTATATAGGGATTATATATAGGGACTATACTGGGCAGAAAAGGTTAAAGGTTCCCTACTCTATGACTAGGGAAACCCTAACGTATATAGGTCTTTTCGGCTACAGGTAGATCTTCAACACAAAACTTACTTGTCCAGTGTTTTGGAGGCGGAACTAAAGGTTAACCCTTGGGATGGTATACCGGTGCTTATGGTACCACCAGACCTACTTGTCGGATATCATGGGGACCTGAAGGTTAACCTGTTTGGTTATATGGGGATTCTTTTCGGGACTATACCACCCAAAAAAGGTTAAAGGTCGCCTACTCTACTACTAGGCAGAAAGGGTAAAGGTTAGCTACTCCACCCCCTAAACCCTAAATATGACAAAAAAACCCTCCTTAACCCACCCTTTAGGGATCAGTGCCTGTATCAAACCCAGCTTCTATCTCGACGCACCAGACTCAGGTTTTTGGTCAGGCTGATGCTCTTTATGCCTATGCCGACATAACTCAAAGGTGAATACACATGTGCACACCTACAGATGTATATACTCACTGGCCAAAACCCAAGGGAATAAAGGTTGAAACTTTCAGAATCGACTACCTTATAAGAACCCCAAAACTTGAAAAGTTTAGTTTACAGCCAATAAGTATATGCATCTAATCTATGTATATATATATATATATATATATACTATATATACTATATGTAGACGGAAAGGGGAGTTCGGGGTTTTGGGCTGCATCCTTCCTTGCGCGTATCTAAGCTTGTTGTTCCGGCCCCCCGATATGGGTGGTTGTCAACATTAGGGTCCCTTTTTGGCTACCCTAAATAATAGGTGCCAAATTATACTAAGGACCCAAAAAGGGACCCTAATTTTGACAACCACCCATATGATAACCAAACTCTGTCGGTGCCCGGTGTCGCTCAGGGTACATCACGTCGTCAGCATCGAAGCGGCAAAGGAACTCGCCTCGACGTAGAAGGCATAACTTTTTTGAAAGGCTGAGCGGGCCAACACCCCCGGACCGTTAGAGTTTAGGGTTTTGGGGTTTAGGGTAGTAAATCCCAAACCTCCTATACATGCAAGGCAACCTCTCGCATGCTAGGGCACCATACCTTCTTTCAGACCATACTCAGGGGATCGTTGGACTCATGCATAGGGTGTCAGTTACTCTAACTGGAGTTGGTGTAATTCCTACTTGTCCAGCATCCTGGGGAACAAACTTTAAACCTTTGGGAGTATATTAGTGTAGGGATTTTAATGCCATCAAAAAGGCTTAATGTCACCTACTTTACTACAAAGGTAGAAAGGAAAAAGACCTAAATGATTACCCATACTACTTTGTGGGCTCCTCATTAAAGCTATATCAGAATATGCTCCCGACAGGAACTTTGAGGATAAACCTACTTGTAAAGGCCCCGAGGCGTTGAGTATCAAGCTCTGAAGCCCAAGAAACCCAGGAAACGAGGGCGAGAGCTGTAAGGTTTAGGGCTTTGGGGCTTTAGGGTTTAGGGCTTTAGGCTTCAGGGTTTTAGGCTTCAGGGCTTTAAAGTTTAGGGCTTTAGGGTTCAGCGTGTTCTCAGACTCCAGGATACCAGGTATTGCAGACAAGGCGAGCAGACCCCCCCCCCCCCAAACCCCCCAACCACTTCACCCCCGCAACCCCCCCCTCCTCGGGTTCTTCTTGCCATTGCTTCCGACGCTCCGCCTCCAATTCTGCTGCTTCCTCCTGCAGCTGCGCGACGGTGGCCAACTTCTGCTACTGGCTCAAGCGTGTCCCTTTGGGGCGTTGCTCGTTGAGCTGTGCTCTTGCGCGAAGTTCAACCATTCGTCACCTTGGTCCTCCCCGATCTGGTCGGTGTGCAGAAGGAGCAGCTTGTCCAGCTGCGCTTTCACCTGGTGCGACATCTTCATTTTCCGCATTGCGAAAATCTCGTGGATAGGCAAACCACGGAGGGACAACACATATCTCGTAAAGCTCTCACCTTCCTCAGATGAGACCACTTTGACGCCCTTGCGCTTCAACTGCTTGGGAGCAGCTCCAACGAGCCGCAAGAACTCGGATTCCGAAACAACGCCCACCTCATAGTACAGCTCCGTTCCTTGGTAGCACCGGATGAGACTCAAGGTCTGGCTTTTCAAGAAGAATCGCAGAACACGGTGACCCTTCACACAGATGTCTGGGTAATTACTGCCCCAAGCGGTCATCCCAACTACCCCCAACCCATCCCAACCCCCCTCGCCACAACGATCCCAAAGCAAGTCTGAGAAACCTAGCGGTTCGGAGGGTTAATTTAAGTTAACTTAGGAACCTGATTAAGAAACCCTGGGTCCTTACTAGGGTTCCATGTATAATCCAAATATATTGTTGGGTGTTGTAGGGCCGGGGTTTCTCAATCAGGTTCCTACCTCGAACGAAGCTCTTTAACAAGAAGTCAGTAACCCCAACTCCCCTCCAAGTGTACGAGCCCTGGCACCCCACCGCAGGAAAAGATTCTCTTGCGTGCTTTTTGCAGTTCCAATCAGCCCAAGCGCGAAACCCAAAAGCCTAAACCAACGCATATGTTCGGAAGCCTTCCAAATTCAAACCCTAAACCCTAAACCCAAACCCTAAACCCTAAACCCTAAATCCTAAACCCTGGTGTATTGTTATGCTTCAAAGGGCATTGGCTCTTGGGGAACCGTGGTCTCTACTCCCCTCAGGTTATGAACAAACATTTCTTGGGATTCTCTTAAAAGTCATCGACCCCAGAAGTTTGAGCACACATTGCTAAGAGCAGTGCAGAGACCCCTATTCTTCAAAGGTATTGGTCACTTTGGGGGCCTACGTGGGGCCTTGGTATGATACGCCCGTTTTCCCGAAACAAGAAACTAAAATAATGACACACCTTCTGGTATACCACAAGACAGATCCTTGAGCCCCTGAGCTACTATACCCCTCGTGTGTACAAATATTCCTTAGGGGCTCCTATACTGAACTCAGAACCCTGGAAAAATATAATTTTAGCTGTTTCTTAGGGGTGATAATAGCCAAAAATTGAAAAAGTTCTAAGTACCCCTAAGGTTCCTTCAACGTTGAAGCGGAAGCCGGGAAGCTCCCGAGCAGAATGTTCAAGTTGTACTTGGAGGATCATTGGGGCTTACCCAGACCTTCCAAAATCCCTTAATTAAGGAATGTACCTTAAATTATAATAGGATCCCTAATATGAATTTAAGTTTTTTCCTTAATTAAGGGATTTTGGAAGGTTTGGGTAGTAAGTAACTCACTGTCCCAAAACCCAAGGCAATAAAAGCTCAAACCTTCAGAACCGACTACCTTATAAGAACCCCAAAAGTTGAAAAGTTTAGTTTACAGCCAATAAGCTTAGTAAGTAAGGGTTCCTTAAATGGGCTCCTTGAAGGGAGCTTTAGGGTTCCTGAAAGGGCTCTATAGGGTTTAGGGTTTAGGGCCTACTTGGAGGACCATGGGACTTAGTAAATAAGGTTGCAAGTACGTGAATAGGGGTTATAAGTAAATATTAGCAAGTTCCATGATTCTCTAAGTAGTGGTAGTCAGCAGACGACATACGAAACCCCGAAACCCCCTACACTAAACCCTAAACCCTAAGTCTTAAACCTGAATCCCTTTTAGATCTGCAAACCCTAAACCCCGGCAAAGGAATTCTTACTGTACTGGATTCCTCTTAGGGATCCCTTAAGGGTTCCTCTAATTGCGGGAGTCCATACGGGGCTCCAGAAACGGTTCCGGTAATTATACACCCGAGGATACCGGGCTCAGGCTTATAAGTACTTATAACCGCAGTTAAGGCACTTATAACCTTACTTACTAAGTCCCATGATCCTTTAAGTAGGTAGCCAAGGCGCCACTGGACTGCTGCACTGCGCTGTTGCACGCAAAGCCTGCGTTGAAGTCCCACTTCAATTTTTCTGTGGAAACCTCTTTCCGTTCGAATGGTAATGCGGTTGGAATGCCACTATGGCTGAGGCAGTTTGTGAAAGGCCTGCTACGAAGGATTCTCATTTCAGGGTTTAGGGTTTAGGGTTTGAACATCCATGAAACTCGTAGCTCCTAACAGTAGAGAACTGTGTGCACCAGTAAGCATTTGGCATTTAGGCGAACCCTTTTTCCTACTCTTTTCAATCTTAACACCAAAAGCACAAAGGCCGTAAGGGTTGCACACGATTGAACTTTAATAAGAGCCCTTTACGGCTTCTTGGAGGAGCCCTCCAAAACACAGTTATGACAGCTAACAGAAGAACACCTACAAAAGGACGAGCCAATCCTCCGATCTTCTCACAAGATGCCGGGCGACCAATGCCGCAGGGCACGCCATTCGCCGGCAACGCAGTGCTGGCGGAACCTGGACCGAAATCTTCACTGCTGTTTCCTTTTTGCCCCGATAGTAGCAGGAATCCTCTCACGGCTGCCATTGCTACTATGATCATTGCTATAAGGAATAAGCAATAATCTAGCACTATTCTGACCTGCTTCTTGCGCCGGTGGTTTTGGTCGCACCGACGTGGGAATCGGGCCAGTCTTGGAGCTGTGGAAGGCATTGGCTGGGTTCTTGTTAAAGGGCTTGATTGAGATTACCACAACAGGGAAACCACATTTATTTACTATGATGTAGGGGCCTCAGTAATTAGAATAGGGTTTTGGGGCCCATTCTACTCTATAAGTATCATAACAAGCTCCCAAAATACTCTAGGTACATATGAAGGCCCCTATAGTAGGTCCCTATTATGGTAACCTAACCAGTGGTTTTGGGGGTTCCCTTGGCTCTTTAGCTCCTTATTTAATAGGGATTATCATCATCCCTGGCTCCTTAGCTCCCATAATATCAATGGCTAGAAAACCCAGCATGCACTGCTGCTGGCCGGACCTTTGCAGTCCCACGGGGTGGGGTGTGTACTGTATACCTTTTCGGATAATCATGGTTGGGACAGGATTGAACGGTTTAGGGTTTAGGGGTTAGGGTTTTAGGGTTTAGGGTGTAATTTGTATTCCGTAGTGTGTTTAAGTTACCGTAAACACGTTAAAAACTGTGACCTAACTATGACGGAGGGCAGGCACGCGTCTTGTCATCGTAGGTGGACTCGTCATTTAGGTAGCTGGTCCCATCGCTAGAAAATCATAGGGATTCTTGGGGGGTAGGGCGTAGGGGCGGGTACTATAATTCCTTAAATAGGTCTTACTAGACCCTTTATCAAATCCTTGTCGGGCTATTACAGAATAGGCCCCCAACCCCGCCTCCCCCTTACCCCCCTCAATCCTGGCTTTGGAATTTTTGCCAGCTGCTTCGTTCTGTGAAGGGCCAGGTGCGGACAAGCTGTCAGTTGCAACATCCCAGGCTGTTCGTAGGTCACTAATATCTGCTTAATTAGTTAGAATAGGATTTTGGGTTATATTGTACTATAACTACAATAAGGAACCTTAAGGGCTAGTATTGGAAAGTGTTCCGGCTTCTACGTCAGCTTCTTGGCGCTTCCTGTACGTAGTTGTGTGTCTCATACGTCCAACAGATAAGCTCTCAGTTATGCAGGAGTTGCACAAACCCCAAGTGTTTAAGGTTTGCAGACTTTGTCGCAAGGGTTTCGCACACATGCAAATTTAACTTGTAACCACTAGAACTACTAATCGACTCCACTCGTGGTACGTGAATTGCATGTCGTGGGAGCCTTTTCAGCAACAGAAGAACCCCGACGACACAACTACATACCTAACAGCCAAGTCAGGGTTGCTCAATGGAAACTGGACCTTGCCCCCCGGACCTGTGGAGTGTGAATCTCTCAACCCCAAACCCTCAACCCTGAACCCACTGAACCTTTGGAATCTGAGTACCTACATCCTACCCTTTTGAGCCTAGGCTCACAACGGAACCGCTGGCACAACCCCTATAGGTCGCTTTCAACCCTTCGAACGCCTCATAAAGTCCTGTGAGGCCATTCAAAATGGCCTATTGAAACCCTATCGAAGCCCTTTTCCTCCAACCCCATTAAAACCGTAAACCTTAGACCCCTAAACCCTTAACCTCCTCAGCCCTACTTGGATGATCATGGGACTTAGCAAGTGGGGTTATTAATAAGGCAACTGTTCTGATAACTACTTATAACCCCAATTAAGGTACTTATAACCTTACTTACTAAGTCCCATCGTCCTCCGAGTAAGCCTCTAGACCCCTGAAGCCTGAATTCACCTCAAAAACCGTGAGTTCTTGAACTTGAGCCTGGCCTCCGTAGCCCTGGTTCCTCGACATCTTTTCGGTGTAGACCTCCCTCCGCTTTTGCTGCCACTCTTCCTAGCAAATTTTACTTAAAGGATCAAGGGACTTAGTAAGTGGGGTTATAAGTAAGGCAACTATACTTATAACCCCAATTAAGGCACTTACAACCCTACTTACTAAGTCCCATGATCCTCCAGGTAAGGTTTCAGGGTGGAGGGTTTAAGGAGCGCTTTCGCAGAATTTTGATGGTTTCCTATCGGAGTTTCAATGCGGGTTCTATGTGGTTTTGGGTGTTTCGGGGTAGGGCTTACTTGGGGTTCCTTATACTGTGGAAGGTTTTTGGCCGTCTTTTAGTGATCCCCAGATTTTGGAACATGGGTTTAGGATGATTAGTGCTAGGATTCCCTCTACTTGACCTTAAGGGCATGAGGGTAATGATGTTCCAACTTTCTGGCTTCTGCTATAAGCCTTTCGGCTTTGCGGATCTCGGGTAAGAGAAAGGCTTCAGGACGCAGGGCTTCCATAGCGTTCAGGGCTGGGGTCTTCGTAGGCTAGATCTAAGAGTAACCTAGGAATAAAAAGGGTGCCCTTTTTGGTTTAAAGGGGGTCATAAGGGATCCTGAACCCCAACAAAGGGAATAAGGGCCTACTCTAGGTCCTAGTAGGTAAGGTATTGCTCAACCTGCGTCGGATGCCAACAGCCACAGGCAGCCACTGCAAACGTCTCGCCCGAGCCAGCGCATCTTCGCATCGAGCCCTAGTGGTGGGTCGATCGGCCTGGCCAATTCGCTGCCCAAGATCAATGCCGAGGAGTCGTACCGATGGAACGATTCAAGCCGGGGCTCGCTGCTGGAAAACTTCCGGGTGGGCCTGGGTGCGAGGCAGAAGCGCCAGCTTGCGCCTGTTCTCCTGCAACCCAAGCCGACGGGTCCAGTCAATCGTCATATCGACGGCCTCCAGCAGCATACTCGCGCACCCAGCTGCCAAGTTGCGGTCATCAACGAAGAAAGACATTCTCACACTTGGAAAGACACGGCTCACGTCACAGGCATCACATGTGAGATAGACCATCATGCCCATGGGGCTGAACGGATCGCCCTGGGGAAGCGAGGATCCTGCCCACCGAGGCTCCTGAGAGACAGCCCTTTTCTGCTGCAGCCACAGGGAGCGAAGCCACGTGCACAGCCCCGGAGGGAGACCCAAAGAAATCGAGCATCCGACAAAGCTCAGATGGATCTACCCAGTCGAAGGCCTTGGCCAGATCCAATGAGGCGATACAGTGCTGCCCAGCAACCACGTCCTCCTCCACGGAGCACTTGGAGGGTCGGGGGACTTAGTAAGTAGGTAGTAAGTAGACTTATAAGTACCCTAAAAGGGACCCTAATTGGGGTTATGGTACTTATAAGTCCCTAAAATAATCAGTTACTAAGTCCCCCGACCCTCCAAGCAAAGGGCAGTGAAAAACATCACGACCCGACATTTCTCCGTGAAAGGAGTCAGGGACCCAGCGAGCGATCCACTCCTTGGCCTGAGGCCGTCACTACTTGCAAGGGCTTTTGGGACTTAGTTTTAGGGTTCTTAAAGGGCTCCTTAAAGGGTTCTAAAGGGCTCCTTAAAGGGTTCTTAAAGGGCTCCTTAAAGGGATCTATAGGGCTCCTTAAAGGGATCTATAGGGATCCGTAAAGGGATCTATAGGGATCCTTAAAGGGATCTATAGGGATCCTTAAAGCGATCTATGGGGTTTAGGGTTTAGGATGGCCTTGCCAACCGTGCGCCACACAGCACACTGCACGGTGATCGGCCGAAGCTTTTCTCGACAGTACTGGACTTTGAAGTAACCAGGGAGAAAAAGGTATAGACTTTTATTTCATAATGGCTCCTGTAAGGAACAGGTACCAAATAAAAGTACTCAAATATGGTACTCCAAACCCAGGCAGTAGGACTCAGGGCTCGAAGCCTTTCGAAGGGCGTGGCAGGTTTACTTACCTTTGGTTAGTAGGGAATGGAGGAATGGGGTTTAGGGTTTAGGGTTTGGGGTTTAGGGTTTGGGATTTAGGGTTTGGGGTTTACGGTTTAGGGTAGGGAATGGAGGAATGGGGCATAACTATAGCAACTACTACTACTACTACTACTACTACTACTACTACTACTACTACTACTACTACTACTCCTGCTACTACTACTACTACTACAACAACTACTACTACTACTACTACTACTACTACTACTACTACGACATGTCAGCTCCCAATATTTCGTTACCTTCGTCCTAAACCCTGCCTATGTCTACTACAGCGGCCTAAATTTCCAAGCTGTGTACGAACCTTCAATGAATAATATCATTCATTCTTCAGGCCTCCAATAACCCATCATAAACACAAGAGCGCCGCAGGACCTGGTAAGTAGACAAGATGACTAGGGCTGCAATTTCCCTAACCGGTGCGAGGTAGTTTTACATTTCTTCACAACACACTTACAAGCAAGTCAATCTGCAGTCTCGTGACGCCCTGAAAATTTGCGTGTTTCCCTGCCTTTGAGAGGGCGCAGCAGGTTTTGCAATAGAGCTTCTCCTCAGCAGCTACGACAGGTATGCGTGGTAATTCTACAGTGAGCTCCCAAAGCAAGATGGCTTACTACCTCGCGAATATGCGATGAGGCCATCTATAGCCTAACCTGTAGAAGGCTTATCTAAACGATCTGAACTACAGTGCTTACTTGCACGGGTATCGGGCTTCCAAGCCATAAGGATCGTAGAAACTTTGTCGGGGTCCTACCCTGATCTTCCTACCTATCTGGGCCGTTGAAAACTCCGTCAGCTTTCTTAGGACTTCACGACTATCGCGCCACTGAGATAGGTGGGAAGAAACGGGGCCAAGGTAAGAGGCCCGTTATGAAAGAATCAGGACAAGCCTTTATACTTAGAATTCTGATTAATAAACTCATGTTCTGCAAGGGCCTTAAAAGGAACCCTATTCCAATTATTAAGGCCTAAACCCTATAGATCCCTTTTAAGGAACCCTACAGATCCCTTCAAGGAGCCCTTTAAGGAACCCTTCCCCTAAACCCTAAACCGTACCCTAAACCCTAAACCGTACCCTAATTCAAAGGGCAAGTCTAGGGAGGGGCTCAGGCTGGGCCATAGCTGTGGCTGCAATGCCCTCTATAGCTTGGGTACGGCCCCCACTCAGTAATAGTCGAATAATATTCATAATATAGATATAGTAGGACCTTAATAGTAGCCCCATTATAGACTCTTACTGTATGGGGGCCGTACCTAACCCATAGCTTTTATGTGACCAAGGCCTACTGTGGGCTTAGCAGTGGGAATAGGTTTTTGAGGCCTAAACCCTAAACACTAAACCCTAAACCCTCGTTCAATCTCGTGTTGTTGTATTAGGAGCCCTAAGAGGCTCGTTTATTACCCGAAGGACGAAAAGAAACGGGAAGAAGGAGACTATCGCGAAACCTCATCTGTTATAGGGGCCTCAATAATTAGCATAGACTTTATTTTTGTTGCGGAGCACTCGGGAAAAGGCTGATAACTATTCATGACTTCAAAAACCCATCCCTCCCGCCTGAACCCTACTTGGAGGATCACGGGGCTTAGTAAGTAAGGTTTTAAATAGGGTAGCTATACTTACAACAACTTTTAACCCCAATTAAGGTACTTATAACCTTGCTTACTAAGTCCCACGATCCTCCAAGTGGGAGTTTCCGAAAATAGGGGGCCCTAGTACAGTACCCTAAATAGTAGGATCCCTATTATCAGGACCCCAAAATAAGGTACCCCCAATCTTCGGAAACTCCCAAGTGAATCCTATCTACTTCGGATCTAGGCCTGGGGCAGCCCCACACTTTCCCACATCCCTTAACTTAAGGATTATACCAGCAACTATAAGTCGGATCCCTAACATCATTTAAGCTCTATTCCACAAGAAAACTGGGTTCTCCTTTATGCCCTTTGAAAGTTATCTATTATTACGGTTCTCCACAAAATAGTAGGGGAAATAAAAAAGATGCCAAAGGACAACCCTGAAAACAAACAATCCAACAGACACGCAAACAAACAAGCAAGCAAGCTTTCCTACTACTCCGTTTTAGTGAGGGGCGCGGAAACAAAAAGGGCAAAAGGGTACTACTTAGAAACCTAGTCCACGTCTTGACCAGGATTCGTCCTTCTTGGAGCTCGCCTTCTTGGCCTGGAGCTCCTCGATGCAGGGATGGGGTTAAAGGGTGCCTTCAAGGGTTCGTTTTAGATCTCAAGGATTTAAGGTTTAGGGTATGCTTGGGGATCATGGGACTAAGTAAGTGGGGTTATACGTGCCTTGATTGGGGTTATAAGTACTTATACGTATAGTTACCCTATTTATAACCCCACTTGCTAAGTCCCATGATCCTTGAAGTAGGGTTTAGGGTATACTTGGAGGCCCTGCTGACTTAGTAAGTCTACTTAGTATCCCCCAGAAACCCTATTATAATCCCCATAACCCACCTTACTAACCCTACTTACTAAGTCAAAAGGGCCTCCAAGTAACCCCTAAACCCTAAACCCTATAGATCCGTTTAAGGAACCCCTATAGATCCCTTTTAGGACCCCTTTAAAGGAACCCCCTAACCTTACTAAGTCAAAAGGGCCTCCAAGCAGGGGTTCGTGGATGTTGGGGCTGGGGAGCTTGGAGTTCGGGGCTTCGGGCTATGGGGGTTTGGGTTTAGGGTTTAGGGTTTAGGGTTTAGGGTTTAGGGTTTAGGGTTTGGGGTTTAGGGTTTAGGGTTTAGGGTTTGGGGCTTTGGGTCTGTTGGAGTTTCGGGTTTGAAAACCCCAAAACGCCAAATTCTAAACTGAACCCGGGGTTCGAAACTTGGCGGAATCATTTCCATGGGCTTTGGGGTTTAATCTCAGGGTCCCCTTTGTTAAGTCAGGATTTGGGTTCATCCTCTTCCTTCGTGTGGCATTGCCCTGGTACAATACAGGAGTTCCGAAAAGCAAAAGTCTGTGATATAGACCCTGAATCGTAGGACCATAGGGTACGCCTATCTTTGAGAAGCTTCTATAGAAACACTTGTTCAACAGTCTGAAGGCTTTGCAGAAACCTATCGGACCCTTGTACGTCCTTATTAATGCTTATTCACCAATATGTCATACTTGAGGGTGTCACCTCGAATAACTTTGGGGATCTTTGTTTTGCTCTGATTTAAGGGACCTTCCTTGACTCTATCCATCTCTATCCTCTTGCAAGATAGGAACGAAACAAGACCCCTCCAACACCAATAGTAGAAGCCAGAAAGTTGGAACATCATTACCCGAATGCCCTTAAGGTAAGATATAAGGGATCCTAGCACTAATCCTCCAAAAGCCATGTTCCAACTTTCTGGCTTGTACTGTAATAGTAACCATACCGATCCCTGAACTAGGGCATGTTGGAAGTTGGAAGAGCTAAAAGGCTACCTACGCAAGTAACACTCTTGTATAGCCTAGCGAGAACTTAACTAAACTCCTCTGCAACCCGTACAAAGCAATGTTAAATAACATGCATAAAGCACTAATTAACAAGTGTCTTACTGGTATGCTCCAAGTATCAGTCCGGATTTGCGTAGTTCAGGGGCATAAAGATGCTGGATGACCTTCTTGTTACGAGTAGTGTACACAGCTCCATAGAACAAATGCGTCTTAACTGCGAGATGCGGCAGGAAACAGTCATTCGGTGACGCTGAATTTGGCATACGTTGCCATTCTGCAACTCGTACAAGCAAGACAATGAACAAGCCTCTTCTGGCCTTGTCCTTGTCAGCCTCTGGCCAACAGGATTGCAATCTCCATCAGCCCTTTCCGTGCTGCGACTTGGAGAGGGGTGCTGCCATCGTTCATCGCCTTGCGCTTGTCAGCCTTGGCCTCCAGCAGCAGGCGCACCACCTCCAACTGCCCGTGATGAGCTGAGACGACCAGAGCGGTGGCGCCATTTTGAATCGCCTTGTCCTTGTCAGCCTTGGCGTCGAGCAACAGGCGTGCCACCTCCAACTGCCCTTTCTGCGCCGCAATGAACAGAGGCGTGGCGTTATCATTCATGGCCTTGTTCTTGTCAGCCTTGGCCTCCAACAACAGGCGTGCCACCTCCAACTGCCCTTTCTGCGCCGCAATGAACAGAGGCGTGGCGTTATCATTCACGGCCTTGTTCTTGTCAGCCTTGGCCTCCAACAACAGGCGTGCCACCTCCAAATTCCCTTTGTGCGCCGCAATGAACAGAGGCGCGGCGTTATCATTCATGGCCTCGTTCTTGTCAGCCTTGGCCTCCAACAACAGGCGTGCCACCTCCAACTGCCCTTTCTGCGCCGCAATGAACAGAGGCGTGGCGTTATCATTCACGGCCTTGTTCTTGTCAGCCTTGGCCTCCAACAACAGGCGTGCCACCTCCAAATTCCCTTTGTGCGCCGCAATGAACAGAGGCGCGGCGTTATCATTCATGGCCTCGTTCTTGTCAGCCTTGGCCTCCAACAACAGGCGTGCCACCTCCAATTGCCCTTTCTGCGCCGCAATGAACAGAGGCGTGGCGTTATCATTCATGGCCTTGTTCCTGTCAGCCTTGGCCTCCAGCAGTAGGCGCACAACATCCAACTGCCCGTGATGAGCTGAGACGACCAGAGGGGTGCTGCCGCATTGCATCGCCTTGTCCTTGTCAGCCTTGGCGTCTAGCAACAGGCGTGCCACCTCCAAGTTCCCTTGCCGAGCTGCAACGTGCAGAGGAGCAGCGCTATCATCGATCGACTTGTTTGTGTCAGCCTTGGCCTCCAGCAACAGCCGCGCAATCTCAAACTGTGCTTCTTGAGCTGCAATATATAGAGGGGTACCCCCCATGTTAGTCCTGGCCTTGTCCTTGTCAGCCTTGGCATCGAGCAAAAGATGCACAAGCTCCAACTGCCCTTCATGAGCCGCCACGAATAGTGGGGTGGTGCCTTCATCGATCGCCTTGTCCTTGTCAGCCTTGGCTTCCAGCAACAGTCGTGCAACTTCCGTATGACCGTGCGCGGACGCCTCGAACAGAGGCGTTGGATCACCTAAATCTGGGTCTTGTGGCCTTTGCAAAATAGTCTCCACAGCTGATGTTCGACCACCTTCTGCGGCACTCCGAAGCTCTTCTACTTGCACTTGAGAAGCTGAGCTGAAATTTAGAAGGACGAGCTGAGCTTCGCCGGGTCTTAAGACGGCTGCGTCATTCTCATTCAACATAACACCGTCATCCAGGACAGTGAGCCGCTGCCGAAATCTTGGCTGCCCACACATGCTGTGCAAAAGTTGCTTCAGTGCCCGGACGGGATCATTCCCTGCAGCCAGCGTTTCCAGAAAGCTTGCCAGCTCAACAGTGAGAATGACTTCCCCGGACACTGAGCGAATGCGTAACATGTGCGCTCTGTCAGCTAGAACGTCGCACAAAACCAACAAGACTCTGCAGATTCAATTTCTAGTTAGGATCGTTCGAGGCCTACCCAGAGGCCCCAAAGAAGTTTTTTTTGGGATTACTTTATAGGATTCTATATATGATCCCCAAAAAGGAACTACTTTGGGGCCTTTGGGTAGGCATACCACAAGCTTTAAATGGTTGACTCATGCTCTGCTGATGACTTGTGCTCTGCTACTTCGCACTTCTTGGTCTGCACCAGCCTAGAACCCGACTTCTCCAAAAACATCAATCTAGGGGCGATAGGAATTAAATAGAATAGAGTTTGGAGGGCGTATCATCATATAGTTATATTCAGTTTAATGACTGCCAAACAATCATATTTCTTGATATGTAGGCCCTCAGCATTGGGATCATAAGCCTTCTGGCAGTCTATACCTTTAGTAGTTCTGCTATCAAGTACCAGTTGGTACCACTATATCGGGCATTAAACAATAAACCTCGACAGCCGCCTAAAACAAGACCGGAGAGCAACGGCTCAGAACCCCAGCCCCGCCGAAACACTAAGCCCTCATCCCCACTGTCGGGGTCTTAACAAGTACTTGGAGGCCCTTTTGACTTAGTAAGTAGGGTTAGTAAGGTGGGTTATGGGAATTATAATAGGGTTTCTGGGGGATACTAAGTAGACTTACTAAGTCAACAGGGCCTCCAAGTACTGTCGGGGTCTTAACAAGTATAGAGTAAGACTTGGGGGTATGAATACACTGGGAACCCTATGTGTTTAGGCTCCTCAATTAAGCCCACATCCCTACAACCTAAACCCGGCAAGCAGCACACCGGTGAAGCTCCGAAAGTCGCGAACACGGAGATCTTAAACCATACGTTTGTTGTTCAAGGACCTGTATATAAGCAGCTCAGCTCATAGTAAGGAACCCTAAAGCTGTAGGTTTTTGGAGAGGAGCACTGCTGTAAACTCAAAAACTCAACTCCAAACTCATAGACCCTACAGACACCTGTTGAAGGTCCGTATAATTAACTCCCTGAAAACCCTCTATCAAATCCTAACTAACCTGCAGCAACCAGCAACCAGTCTAAAAGCCGCTTGACACCTACAACAAGCTGCACAACAGCCCTGTAAACCCTTGAAGAACCTTCCTCAAACAGTCATCGCACCTTTACTTGGAGGATCATGGGACTTAGTAAGTAAAGTTATACGTGCCTTAATTCAAGTTGTAACTACTTATATGTATAGTTACCTTATTTGTAACCCCACTTACTAAGTTCCATGATCCTTTAAGTATACCATCTTTGGAAACCTTTACAGAAGCCTTCCTGACCCCTCAAAACACCCCTCTACTGCCTGTTCGCTCTGATAGAGCCCTCCCTAAAGCCTGACAGCTCCCCTTCACACAACATCCTCTTCTAGAACCTTCTGAAACACCACCAAAAAGCCTTCATCAGCGTTTGCGGAGACTTTCTAGCCTGGAGTCTAGAACTCGTGTATCGCCCTATGGTCACCGAACCTTGACATGATGTACTTTTAGTCCCTACAAAACTCTATAGACCATGTGGGTGGTTGTCAAAAACATGGTCTCTTTTGGGTCCCTATTATAATACGGCTCCTATTCTTTAGGGGACAACTACCCATGTGTAACATTGTAAACCCATATGGGCCATATGCAACCCTGATAAACCGCAAAAAATGCCTATACAACTAAAGGTCAGTAAAATAAAGTCGGCACAACCCTACAAAACCCTTTGAATCCGTCTACTTGGAGGATGGTGGGACTTAGTAAGGCTATAAGTACCTTGATCTATAAGTAGGTACAAGTATAGTGACCAGATTTATAACCTTAATAACTAAGTCCCATGACCACACCCTAAGCCCTAAACCCTTTAGATCCATGTAAAGAAGCCGCTAGATCCCTGTAAGGAGCCCTTCAAGGAACCTTACTTACTAATGCTCCAAGTAGGGCCCTCTTAGGTCGCTTCCGGTCTCCCAACTTAAAGGATCATGGGACTTAGTAAGTGGGGCTATAAATAAGGTAACTATACTTACAGGTACTTCTAACCCAATGAAGACACTTATAACCCTACTTACTAAGTCCCATGATCCTCCAAGTAGACCCAAAACCCTAAACCCTATAGATCCCTTTTAAGGAGCCCTACAGATCCCTTTGACGAGCCCTTTAAGGAACCCTAAAACTACGTCCCATGATCCTCCAAGTGGCACCTAAAGCCTAAGCTCTATAGTCCCTATAGATCCCAAAAAGGAACCCCACTTGGAGGCCCTGTTGACTTAGTAAGTCTACTTAGTATCCCCTAGAACCCCTATTATAATCCCCATAACCCACCTTACTAACCCCACTTACTAAGTCAAAAGGGCCTCCAAGTATAGATCCCAAAAAGGAACCCCTAAACCCTAAACCCTAAACCCTAAACCCTAGACCCCATAGATCCCTTTAAGGAGCCCTGTAAGGAACCCCTAAGCCCGAAAGCCCACGCTCTTCCGTCCTCAAAGGGCGCCCGGCGCCTGCAGAGGGCGCAAGAGGCGGCCTTGTGTCATACGGTTGAGGATCTAAATCCCTAGGGTTCCTTTAAAGGGATCCATAAGGGGTACCTTTAAGGGGTTCCTTTAAGGGATCTGTAGGGTTTTAGGGTTTAGGATGATATAAATCCTGCATGACCCATTATAAGGAATATACCATAATTCCCATAGTTTAGGGTCCTTAGGGTCATGCAGGATTTTGTCCATCAGCAGTAGGGACCCTTAGAGGGGGGGAAGTTTAGGGTTTAGAGGGCTTAGAATATCATGGGGACCTTTAGGGGGGAATCCGGGAGGGGGTTTTCGGGTTTTGTGGTTTTTTCGGGTTTAGGGCTTTTCGGGTTGAGGGGCTTGGGGTTTAGGGTTTAGGGGTTTGGGGGCTTTACGGTTTGAAGGTTTAGAGGTTTAGGGCTCCGATTTTGCCGGGGCTTATCGGGCTCGACAAGGATAGCAGAGTTTTGTAAAAGTTTCTCCCATTTTTTCGATAAGTTCAGAGCTTTGGGTTTTGGGGTTTAGCATTTGTGCTTTGTTCGAAACCCCTGTTTTAAGGTCTAGGGCTTTGCGTTTGGGGTTGAGTGCTCCGTATGCCTTGGAGTGTACACTTTGGGTTTTATAGTGGGTAGCAGGGTAGCATTATCCCAGAAAGTGTAAAGTGTATCCACTCAGCTACTAAGACACCCTTAGCCCCAAACCTTAGGCCCAAGCTCTAAACGCTACACCCTCAACACTACATAGGGGTCTGCAGTACTTACGGCTTCGAACTTCTGTAGAGCTGATGGAGTCTCTAAGGGCTTTCGAGCTGTTGCACGGAAGTGTCTCATGGGCCAAAAGACCCAGTGTTCTGGACGGAAGATGCGCCGCTTCAGTTCCTACGGTGCTCGATCTCAAACTCCGGCTCGTCTTCGGCCCGAACCCTAGGCCCTAAAGCCTAAACCCCTATAAACCCTAAGCCTCTAAACCCCCAAACCCCTATATGTGCCCGCGTTCCGCGTTCTCGACCCCCCCCCCCCCCCCCCCAATGGTATCCCCCCCCCCCCCCCGGCACAGGGGGGAGGGCGAAAAACAAGAACGTGACAGCCTGAACCCTAAGACGGACCGCAGAAACCACAGGGGGGGGGGGGGTGGGCAGGAAGCGGAGGAAGCACAAACCACGGACAAAAGGAGAGAAGCAAGGAAAGCAGAGGAAGCAGACACGACGGACAAAAGGAGAGAAGCAGAGGAAGCACAGGTACCACAGGGGGGGGGCGAGAAGCAGGCAGAAAAGGAGACAAGCAGAGGAACCAGAGGTACCACAGGGGGGGGGGGAGAAAGGAGACAAGCAGAGGAACCAGAGGTACCACAGGGGGGGGGGAGAAAGGAGACAAGCAGAGGAACCACAGGTACCACAGGGGGGGGGGAGAAGCAGAGAGGGATACGATGGGGGGGGGGGGGGGGGCGCAGATGCTGGCACATATAAACCCATAAACCAAAAGGACGCTCGCCGTGGCGCTCCGCATCTGGGCTAATGCAAAGCCACCAGACAGCCGACAGTTTTTTGACAGCGGTGGAAGACGTTGCGTTCCGCCTGTCGGCCAAGGTGCCGACAGTAGATAACATAGCATTGGGGGCAAAACCAATGCTTCCGCCCCCTCATCTCCCCGTTCGGATTGCGGCGTAGGACGCCGTCCCACTTCCTCTACCCCAAACCCGAAACCCTAAGCCGTAACCCTAAACCCTAAACCCTAAACCGGTTTCCTTGTGGCTCTGCATTGCAACGTTGCAGCCGTGCTCGCAAGCCATGCGAGGGCCACGGGTCTCCATTCTGAGATTCCGTAGCTGGTAGAATAGGGTTCCTTTAAATTGTTCCTTTTAAAGAGGTTTATAAGGGTTACTATAAGGGGTATTATGGGGGTTCAGTATAGGGGTCTGGGTACCAAGTTCAGGGCTCAGGGTGTAGACGTGGGGCTTTGGAATTTAGGGCTTGCTGGGGAGTTGAAAGTAATTTCCATCTTGTACTCACGTTCCGGGCGCAAGGTCGCACACACGCACACCTATAACTTCCTGAATCCTAAACTCTGACCACACTACAGCAGATTTCCAAAGCTGCGTGAGACAAGCAATTTGCGCGAACACAAAGAAATCCCGAAACCCTCAGCCCTGTGCTGACCAAGTATATCCCCGAGCCCCAAATCGTCAAGCCGGCGAATGACGAAGATCTGCTGATTCAACGTTGCCGCGAGAGAGGCGAGCTCCAAGGAACCGCCCCAAGCTTGGTCACGACCGATTCGCTTCAAGTATTCCCCAAAGCCAAGTGAAGAAATGTCCTCCTGCGAAGCTGAAGAACTGTCCCCACGCCAAAACCCAGAGTAAGTAGACTCATGCTTGCGCGGGTGTGTGACAGCCAAGTTCCTCAACTCACTGGCGCTCCGACGCGAGCGACCCTGAGCAACGAGCGCCTCGGCGACCGCCAGGAAAAGGCAGTTGTCCTGGCCAACGTTGTCGATGAGCTTCATGCCGCCCGGGATGCCAGGGTCGGTAACCGTCCGCTCCGAAGCAACCTTGGGGTGTCCTCCTGAGAGGGCAGGGACCTGCCATCATCAAGCCTTTGCCGGTCACCCTTATAGATCCCTTTAAACAGTTAACGGTTACCTACTCAGCTACGAAGAAACTCATCAAGCCGAAGGGGACGTGTTGGAAAACCAAGAAGAAAAACGCCGATAATCTCAAAACGAACGCCTGGTTTAGGGTGTAAAGTTTAGGGTATGGTGGCCTTCAAAACGAAATCCTGAACCAAAACTCCGAACGCCCGCCCCCCCCCCCCCCAAAAAAAAAGGGCTCATTTCGATAAACCTGTCACTTACGAGTACCAATATTTTTCAGCTTTCCTCGTTATAAGTATGGTGTAAAGAACCCCAAACTCCTCTTCTAGCTATTAAGGCCCCTACAGTAATTTTCAGCCCGATGGGAGACCTCTTCCGCTGCCGCAGGGAGCTGTGAGCCATCCTGTGCAGTAAGCAGCTTAAGATATCCTTTCAACACTAAAGGGTCTTACCACAAGAACCGAGTAAACATCTATACTGAGTTAGAGATCTCAGCACAACTCAGCACTAAGACCCGTCTAATGCTGACGTTTTGTATATCTTCAGCAACTGAAAGGAACCGGTGGTATGTGACATGCACTGACAGTTTAAAACACTAAGAAAAGGCTGATCGCAACAAAAGACAAGAATACGCAATGGACCGAATATTTTACTACCGAAGATGGTGAGAGCAACAACAAAGCCGAACAAGCAATGGACCGAATATTTTACAGCAAAATACAACTAGGATGGGAGGAACATCGAATGAAACATGATCGCGTGGATAAAGACATGTTCAACATTGATATGGCCAAAGAATCTTGGGAGGGTGGTGTTACTTCGAAGGGACAAGACGAAGCCAAGTGATCTACTGGCCCTCGCCATTCGTAAATCTTGAAACCCTACACCCCAAAACCCAAAATCCCTAAACCCATGAACCCTAAAACCCTAAACCCCAAACCCCAAAGCCGTAAACCCGAAACCCTAAACCCGCCAGAACCCTAAACCCTAAACCCGCCAGCACCCTCAGCCCTAAACCGTAAGGCCAGAACCCTAAACCGCAGGTCCTGAACCCTAAACCCCCTTTTGTGGGAGTTTCCGAGAATCGGGGGACCCCTAAGATGGTCCCCTACATAGTGGGATCCTTATTATAAGGACCCCCAAAGTAAGGTACCCCCGAATTTTCGGAAACTACCAAAAGGCATTTTTTATCTGAGGCTCCTGCTCTTTGGGTTTTCAGCTCCTACTTGGAGGCCCTTTTGACTTAGTAAGTAGGGTTAGTAAGGTGGGTTATGGGGATTATAATAGGGTTTCTGGGGGATACTAAGTAGACTTACTAAGTCAACAGGGCCTCCAAGTATAAAGGGCTACAAGACGTGTATTTCAAGGGCTACTGTAAGGTTTCTTTAGGTTGCGAAGGTTGCTAATTCCTTCTCCGAATCCCGGAACCCTGCAATTCTCCAAGCTCCTCCCAAGACTCTTGAAACGAACATTTTTGATGGTTCCATATTTAGAGGAGGTGTTTGGGGTGTATTTCCGTATAGCTACATAAGGAACCCCAGGGAATCAGATTCTACATTGAGCCCTACCATCTAGACTAATCCTCAAATCGTAAACCTGCACACCCTTACCCCCGTAACCCGAATCCAACAACGTAGCTGAAAGGATCATGGGACTTAGTAAGTGGGGTTAAACATAAAGTAACTATACTTGTAAGTACGTATAACCCAATTAAGGCACTTATAACCTTACTAAGTCCCATCATCCTCCAAGTGCCCAGATCAGAGTCAGGAACAACAAACTTTGCTGTTTTAAGGCACCCTACTTGGAGGGTCGGGGGACTTAGTAAGTAGGTAGGAAGTAGACTTATAAGTACCCTAAAAGGGACCCTAATTGGGGTTATGGTACTTATAAGTCCCTAAATAACCAGTTACTAAGTCCCCCGACCCTCCAAGTATGCACCATGCCAAAGGTCAATATGGGTGGTTGTCAAAATTATGGTCCCGTTTTGGGGGACCCAAAAAGGGACCCTAATATTGACAACCACCCATATAGCAGCCTTAATAGTGACCTCTCAAGTTTTTGGGGCCCTTGTACACAAAATAGTATCATGGGCCCCAATGCCCTATTCTAGTTATTGAGGCCCGTTCATTACCTACTCAGCGATACAAGGCCCTGAAGACAAACTCAATTCTATACCCCCCTTTCAGAACCATCACAACAACAATACTTTTAATATTCTCTTGGGTTTTATATGGACAAAAACCAAAAAATATTTCCTAAGGAGACTATAGAATTCTGGCGCCTCCTTCGCATAGGCCTCATTGCGCCGCTCGCCGCGGCGTGCTGCCTGGAGGCATCTGGGATTTTACGGAAATTAGGGGTACCTTTAAAGGGATCCTTTCAAGCGTTCCTTGCAGGGAGCTATAAAAGATCTATGAAGGTTTTAGGGTTTAGAGTTTCCGAAGATTAGGGGTATCGCTTATAATGAGCATCCTACTCTTTAGGGTATTTACTATATTAGGGGTCCCCTATTTTCGGAAAGGTAAGAAAGGAACCTGCTTAAGAAACCTTGGGTCTTTATTGGTTGTCCTTATAAGAATCCCATTATTTTGGGGTCATAGGGCCAGGGTTTCTTAATCAGGTTCCTACATTATCTCGTTCTCTTCCCATGGCCTTAAAGGGGACTTCCGAAAGCTAGGGGTGCTTCATTCGAGACTGTTCATAACAAAACAGGTACCATTTGGGGGTCTACATCAGGTGTGGTGACTTCTTAGATTTGTTCGCATAGAGCTCTTACGAGGCTTTGCATGGCGTGTAGTAACGTTCTATTAGACATTACATTGTATTCACATATTACGCGTAGTTTTGTAAAGAATATGTACGACTTCATGCGGATTTGAGGGTTGTAAGCATTCCGTAGTTACAGGTGTCTTTTTGAACCAGGGATCACGGAAGCAGCTTTGCCCAGCTAATACGGAAAAACTAAAGATCGCGAGCACACGCGCACAACTTATCTTTTACGGTTTTTCTCCGGCGGAGGCTAAAGAGGGTGTGCTCTTGCGAAGTCTTTGTAGGTACTCTTCAGTCTCAGCAGTTCGGCCTCCGTGGCTATGCGAAGAGACGTGTTGCTGATGGAGACGACCCCTTCTGAACTGCATTACATTCGCGAGTATCTCCTGAATGATAAGGGCAATTCAGTCTTGATCGCGAGACACGAAATACAAAAAATGCAGAGGGTGAAGCCTAGCCAACATCCCGCAGCCTGAATTCTAAAGCGCCGCGTGCTGCTGAAGCCCCAGACTTCCCAAGGCTGAAACAACATGCAATCCCGAGGAGTATCTGTATGCATGGCACCCAAAACATTTAACCCTAAGCCCTAGTTCTTAAACCCTACACTCTACAACCTTTACCCCGAACAACCTCCCAGAGGTTCGACCGCTACTCCCCAGTCCTGCAACGCTCCCTAGTCAACCCTTGGGCTACTTGTCGGGTATCTTGGGGAACAAAAGGTTAACCTTTTTGGGAACATCGGGATTATATAGGGACTATACTACCCAAAAATGGTTAAAGGTTGCCTACTCTACTACAGAACCCTATACCCTTCACCCTACAAACCCCTCGTTGTATACCTTCCCGAAGATGGCGTAGATCCTCTTATGTTCGACAACGGAGAACTCCTCGAAGAACTCCTTCAAGCCCCTCTTGTTCTCCGTCTCGGTCAAGACGGGGTACACGTTCTTCAAGCTGTTCAAGACCATTATTTGGTTGAGGTTGATCATGATAAATTCTGATGTCCGGAGTGATAGCATCACGAACATGCACAAGCCGGACGTCAACAGGATCAAGATCATCACCGTCGGGGTTTTCTACAAGCAGGTCGACAATGATCAACTCAGATAACTCGGAAATGTAGTCTGGGATGTGGATCACGGACATCCTTTTGATCCAAAACGGCTTCGAGGAGACAGATGCCTTCCCCGTCAAAGCATAGGACATGGCCGACATGGCGTTGGAGCAGAAGCACGTCTTCGCAGTTTTCGCGTCGGAGTTGCACTCCCGCAGCTCGGACACTCAGAAGACCATGGAGGTCATGATGGACTCCAGTGCCACGCTGTACACCAACTGTAAGTATACAGGCAAAGATCACCATCTACAGTTGTGGAATGTCTAGATGACTGACTAATGATTTCCAAGTAAACCCAAAAGATCCCTTAAAGGACTCCTTAACGTACCCTTTTAAAGGCACCCTTAGGCTTTGGTGAACCCTATAGCTCCCTTAAAGGAGCCCTTAAAGTACCCTTTTAAAGACAGCCTTAGGCTTTAGGGGGCGGGTTCAGGGCTTAGGACTTACTAAGTCACCTGACCCCGTAAGCCCCTAATGTAGGAACCTGATTCAAAAACCCTGGGACTATATACGGGTTCCTTTTAAGGGGTCTATAGGGGTTGCTATAAGGGATCTATAAGGGTACTCTCATAATGTAGGAACCTGATTCAAAAACCCTGGGACTATGGGTACCTTGTTTTGGGCTCCCTACTTGGAGGCCCTTTTGACTTAGTAAGTCTACTTAGTATCCCCTAGAAACCCTATTATAATCCCCATAACCCACCTTACTAACCCTACTTACTAAGTCAAAAGGGCCTCCAAGTACAATAAGGATCCTACTATTTCGGGTACTGTATTAGGGTCCCCGATTTCCCATCCTCAAAGGATCTAATCTAATGTACTTAAAGGCTCATGGGACTTTGGGATCTATAGGGGTTCCTTAAAGGGATCTATAGGGTTTAGGGTTTAGGGTATAGGGTCTACTTGGAGGATCATGGGACTTAGTAAATGCGGTTATAATTAAGGTAACTACACTTATATGTACTTATACTGATAACTGTACTTACTAAGTCCCATGATCCTCCAAGTAGGAACCTGATTCAGAAACCCTGGGACTATATACGGGTTCCTTTAAAGGGGTCTATAGGGGTTGCTATAAGGGATCTATAAGGGTACTCTCATAATGTAGGAACCTGATTCAAAAACCCTGGGCCTCTAACACCGAAATAGTAGGATTCATATAAGGAACCCTAATAAAGGCCCAAGGTTTCTTAATCAGGTTCCTCCATTAGTCAGGCCCTGTCAAAAACCTACTTAAAGGATCATGGGACTTAGCAAGCAAGGTTATAAGTGCCTTAATTGGGGTTAGAAGTAGTTATAAGTATAGTTGCCTTCTTTATAACCCTACCTTCTAAGTCCCATGATCCTTCAAGTAGCCCAGAGAGCCCAATACCCCTTACTTAAGGAATATAGCTTAAATCATAATATGAAGCCCCTTATAAGTTAAGCCATATTCCTTAATTAAGGGGTATTGGGCTCTCTGGGAATCCCCTAGTCAGGCCCTGTCAAAAACCGAGTGCCTGCCTCGAGCCTGGCGGTGTTGGTGCCAACAGTGAAGCGCAATGTGTCCTTCCCCAGACCCCCGGGAGGATCCAAAAAGTAGATCCCTCAATGGGGGTTCGTATAAAGTACCCTTAGTAGTTTAGGGCCCCAAATTAGGGGATCTACTTTCTAGATCCTCCCGGGGGTCTGGGTCTATGGTTAGAAGTCTGGGCCCCTAAGATGTACCAATATGTACCCCTAAACCTTATACAGTTTGGGGTTTAGGGGCTTAGTATCAGGTCAGAAGTATGGGCCCCGAATATGGACCCCTAGGCCTTTTTGAGGGAGTTCTCGGGACCCCTAAGAGTCTATACAGGCCTTTTTGAGGGAGTTCTAGGGACCCTTAAGAGTCTATATAGGCTATTTAGTAGGTATATAAGGATCTCAGGGTTGAGGGCCCATACTAGGGGCCCATGGATTCAACCGTTGAGTCCTGCGGACCCAGCCTTTCCCCGCATATGGAACGAGAGCACACACGATATTGCTAAGAGATCTCGACAGAAGAAACCATAATCCAGAAAAGAACTCGGAACGTACCCAAAGAGCCCTATAAGCAGGGCGCGACTTGAAGCTCGTAAGCCTTCAGCCCATGGAGGATCCAACAGTTGGGGCCCGCCAGCTAGGAGCCCACCAACCTAGGCAAAAAAAGCCCACCCCTTTTGGTATTGGGTCCCAAGGTAGTTGTACAAGGAACCTACGACCACAACAAAGGAAAACTGGCCTGCTGGGAGACCCAGCGATAAATATCCTTCTAGGGTTGAGGTGCTTCGATTCTTTGTCAGTGTTTCTGAAGGTTTTTAGGATTTAGGGTCTAAGGGGTTTAAGGGTTTAGGCTTCAGCTACCACCGGGTAAAGTCATAACAGAAGAAGGCCTGAACCCTCAGCAGTACTGGGAGGATCGTGGGGCTTAGTAAGTAAGGTTACAAGTGCCTTAATTGGGGTTTTAAGTACTTGTAAGTAAAGTTACCTTACTTCTAACCTTACTTCCTAAGTCCCATGATCCTCCAACCCTGAACCCTAAACCAACCATACCCTGCCATCTGCTCGGACGGGAGGGGCTCCGGTTTGTTTTTAGAGCCTAAGAACCCTCGAATTTCCTGAGTAGCTTCGAATTTTTGGTCCTAAACCCTAAAGCATGTCGAGCAGTAGTAGCGTGTAGGAGCTCCCTGTTAGGTTCTAAGCCCGATTGGTTCAACACAAAAGCATTTCTTAGTTGCTGAGTTCATTAGCCCCCAAAACGTGTACACTTTCAGTTTTATAGTGGGTAGAACCATCCAAAAAAGTGTAAAGTGTATCCACTCAGCTACTACGCTTTTGATAACACCTTGATTTCGAGGTATGTTGGGTTTTAGAACCAAAAACCCTTTTGAGTTCCAAAGTAGCTTAGAGTCTTTAAATCCGAAACCCTAAGGGGCCTACAGTATATCGAAAGTAGTTTCTACAGTACTTGGAGGCCCTTTTGACTTAGTAAGGTTAGGGGGTTCCATTAAAGGGGTCCTAAAAGGGATCTATAGGGGTTCCTTAAAGGGATCTATAGGGTTTAGGGTTTAGGGTCTACTTGGAGGCCCTTTTGACTTAGTAAGTAGGGTTAGTAAGGTGGGTTATGGGGATTATAATAGGGTTTATAGGGGATACTAAGTAGACTTACTAAGTCGAAAGGGCCTCCAAGTAGGTTCCTGCAGAAGAGCCAATACTACCTAGGAAAACCCTTACCGGTCCGGATACGCTTCAGTGAGTTGCCTCCGCCATTGTTCCACCTGGGCCGACACTTAAAACAAGGGGCTTACCTCTAGAAAAACACGGTTTAGGCTTTAGGGTTTAAGGCAGTGGCTACATTCTGTGCTTTCATTGTCTAAGCCCTTTAAAAGGGAGGTTTTTTCTGAAGCTTTTGGTGGTGAAGATAAGACTTTGGAGCATGGGGTTGTCAAGCTTCGGACTTTAGGGCTTGGGGCTTCGGGGCCTATTGCTAGGCTCCTTAGGGGTTCCTTTAAAAGGGGTCCTAAAAGGGATCTATAGGGGTTCCTTAAAGGGATCTATAGGGTTTAGGGTTTAGGGGTTACTTGGAGGCCCTTTTGACTTAGTAACTAGGGTTAGTAAGGTGGGTTATGGGGATTACAATGGGGTTTCTAGGGGATACTAAGTAGACTTACTAAGTCAAAAGGGCCTCCAAGTAGAGTTGTAAAGTAAGAGAGCCCTAGTCCCTAAACCCTAAAACGAAAGAGCAACCGGCTACTACTGGGGAACTGAGTTTTCTTATTTATTAGGGTTTACGGATTATAGCATCCAAAACGCCCCTTCCAATCACTCAGGCCCCGAAACCCTAAAACCCCTACCTGAGTGGTCCTTTAAGCCCTTTGACGATTATTTACTAACATGGTTCTCTACAGATTAGTAGGGGAAATTGAGAAAGATCCCCAACGGACAACCCAGCTACGTAAAGCCTGAAGCCTCTGAAGGCTCAGAAGGGCAAAACAAGTGTCTTCACATGCCTTTCCGGAAACCTTCTGAAGAGTAGGGTTTAGGGTTTAGGGTAGACATGGGGAGCACCATGAGCTACAGTAAGCTCATAGGCTATTCAACCTCCGCAACTGGACATGCATCCCTGCTTCACTCAGCAACTCAAGCCATTCTTCGCGACCAACTTCTACATGGGAGTTTCCGAAAATAGGGGACCCTAATATAGTACCCTAAATAGTAGGATCCTTATTATAAGGTACCCCCAATTTTCTGAAACTCCCATGAAGCCCTGGGCTCCCACCATTGCCATGAACCGCTTCTCGGGCAGGACCTTCCTACCAAGGTCCGCGGGCGAACGGGGCTCCTAAAAGGGATCTATAGGGGTTCCTTAAAGGGGTCTATAGGGTTTAGGGTTTCTTACTTGGAGGCCCTTTTGACTTAGTAAGTAGGGTTAGTAAGGTGGGTTATGGGGATTATAATAGGGTTTCTAGGGGATACTAAGTAGACTTACTAAGTCAACAGGGCCTCCAAGTAGAATCTTCTGTTGCACTTTCGCCTGAGTCCAAAACAGACGTGCGTCCACATGTCGGGTTTTGGCGCTCGGCCCCTGTCGATGCGCCAGCTGTCTTGCTGCCTGATTGTCGAGACGAATGCTGACCTTTGGAAGCTCCTTCAAGACAAACTCCAAACACTGTCTGAGATACAAACTGTCACATGCTGCAGTGACTACTGCATCGTGCTCGGCCTCGCAACTCGACCGTGAAACCGACTGCTGACCATGGCAGCTGCAAACGATGGCGGCTCCATCTAAGCTAGGATACCCAGTAACCTAAGAATAAAAAGGCCTCTCTTTTTGGTACTGGGTAACTTTATAAGGAACCTAGGACCACAAAAAGGGAATAAGGGTACTACTGGGCATCCTAGTAAGTAATGCACAGCAGCCGACATGCTGCGCCGGCTGACCTGGGATCCTGACCAGTCTGACTCGGAACAGACTTCCCTTGCAAGAACAACTACCCAGACCTTCCAGAATCCCTTAATTAAGGAATATACCCTAAATTATAATAGGACCCCTAATATGAATTAAGGTATATTCCTTAATTAAGGGATTTTGGAAGGTCTGGGTAGCTTTTTCTAAAACACACGGGTTTAGCGTTTTGGAGTAATGGGCTAGATCTAAACCCTGAGCCCTTGGGACACACCAGGACAAGTTGAAGGCTGCCTGTAGGCATAAGTACTAGCTTTAGCTGCGCGTACTTCAAGGATCATGGGACTTAGTAAGTGGGGTTTTAAATAAGGTAACTATCTATACCTAAAAGTACTTATAACCCCAATTAAGGCACTTATAACCTTACTTACGAAGTCCCATGATCCTCCAAGTACGTTTCCTTTTTGGGGTTCATACATAGACTCCTATAAAGTATTGCCAAAAGCGAACTACTATGGGCCTCTGGGTAAGTTGCCGAGGATTCAAAGCTTCGGGCTTTTGGGTGCTACCTTCTGGAACCCTAAACCCTGCACCAGCAACCCCTAACGTTCAGAGTTTGGGCTTTGGCTAAGATAAGGGTGTGTCAGCCAGTGTCGAACACCAACCTGTGACCATAGTATAAGGTCCTCAACAAGTAGATTAGGGTTTCGGAGCACATTATACTACAATAGCCAAAGGACTTGAAGGGAATACTATGATTATGTAGTTGTTCCGACCTCTATAGTGGGTTTTCAGCAACTTGGGAAGAAGCACCGGCCCTATAGTACAAGGCCCTCAACAATTAGACCAGGGTTTCGGAGCATATTATTCTACAAGGCGAAGAGGGCTTGAAGGGAATTCTATCAATAGTTGTTCAGTCCTCTATACTAACCATGATCAACAAATCGTATTCAGGGCCCGCCGGTTCCACACCAACTCTGCAGGGCTGCGCATGGCGGCCACTGCCACCCATGCAAAGAAAACGTGATGCTCTTGAGGACATCTGCGAGCCCCTACAGTAGAAGCCAGGAAGTTGGAACATAAACAATCGCCCCCAACCTCCCCTCGAGGAATTCAGTCAGAAGGCAATTTCGGCGCTGCGGTCGTGGCTGCCGTCGTCGAAGATGGAGACCTTCGTTTAAAAGGGCCGAAATTCCAGGCACGTTGACCGTCCTTATTGTGCCTTGCATGTTTATTTGGGATCCAGAATCGGCCCCCAATCTGAGAAGTACTATGGAAGTTTCCGGAGATTAGGGGCACCTTCTTTTGGGATCCTTATAATGAGGATCCTCCTATTTAGGGTTACTCTATTAGGGTCTCCTACTTTCGGAAACTCCCATATGGAACGCGGCTTGGGGATATGTTTTAGTATGGCTATACCGGAGCTACGAAGGGGATACTGTGAGGAAATTTTTCAGGTCATACCAACAGAATTTGAAGCAGTACGCGTTTTCGATGACGACCACGGCAGTGACGATGATCTTCCGTGCAGAATGGTTGAAGGCATGGCGGAGCCGGGTTCCAGGGTCTCTGGGTGTAGGGGTCCTTGGCCTTCGATTGTGAGCGTCGTGTTTACCACACCCTGCAAAAAAGCTCTCCCGCAGCAACGACATGTCATCCCAGACCCCCGGCAGGATCTAGAAAGTAGAACCCCTGATTTAGGAATCTATACTACTAAAGAGTGATTTAAAGGAACCCGGTTTAAGGGATCTACGTTTTGGATCCTCCCAGGGTCTGGCATGTATATACCCAGACCCCCGGGAGGATCCAAAAAGTAGACCCCTTAACCCTTCGTACTATAGGGCCCCAAATTAGGGGATCTACTTTCCCCTTATAGATCCCTAAACCCCAACCCTCCAAACCCTAAACCCTAAAGGATCCCTTAAAGGAGCTCTTAAAGGAACCCTACTAGATCCTCCCGGGGGTCTGCGTTGGGAAACTGCATGAGAGGTTTTCGGGTTCCGGGTTCGAAGAGCCAGAGACTCCAAAGCCCCTTAGTCCTAAGCGGGGTTTAAGGTGTCGTAGGGGTTAGGGCTTAAAACTCAGGGTATAGGGTACTTGACGGTGCTTTGTCCGAAGGGCCTCAACAGGCTGAAGACTGACCCGAAAGGGCTCATATAGGGGCCTTAATAATTAGAATAGGGGCTCCTTTTAAAGGGTTCTTAAACACGGAGCTCGAAGGATCTATAAGGGTCACTATAAGGGGTCTTAATAATTAGAATAGCGTTGTGGGGCCCATCATACTATAATTAAAGCAAGGAACACCAAAAATAGTAAGGTAATTATTTCGGCCTCTATAGTACATCGCCCCGTCCGCAATATACGAGGCATGACTGCGATTTTTTTTCACAGACCGGTCAAGCCCCGAAACCAAATACCTTAACCGTTGTTAAGGACCTGAATCTAAATTACCAAGAACAGGGATCCACAGCAGATGCTATGTGACGAAATCAAGGATACCGTAACCCCTGAAAAGCCTTTATGTTTAGAGTTTAAGCTGCCGCCGCGAGTTGTAAGCAAGGTTGGTTTCGTTGCATCCTCTGCGGAGCTAGTCCACATTTGAACCCTAGTTTCGGCATGCAAAACGTGAGAAGAAACTTCTGGAAGTCCGGTCTGTGATTCAGGACATAGGGTTTTGACCACGTTTGTAGACATGTTTGAGTCGGATTAGGGGGTTTATGAGCAGTTTATAGTTGCAGCAAATCCTCGCGATTGTGACTCGTAAGTCGTAGGGTTAGTAGGGTTCGGTCACAATACGCACAGGCTTTGAAGTGAATGCCTCTCATTTCCTAAGCGTCCAGAAAGGAGGCCCATACTTGCAAAGAAGCTAAGACAGGGGAGCCATGAGGCCCTTGTAGTGAGTTTGTGGTAGGGTTTAGGGGTTTACGGTTTAGGATTTAGGGTCCTACTTGTCGGCTATCATGGGGAACTGAAGGCTAATCTTCTTGGTAATAGAGGGATTATATAGGGACTATATTACCCAAAAAGGGGTAAAAAGGTTAAAGTTTGCCTACTTTACTACTGGGTAATACAGGCGACCGAATCGGAGAATGTTAGTAGTTAGTATTCTTGGGTGACTTCTGAAGCCCTCCAAAAAAGGGTCAACTTTTAGCCTACTTGTTATGGTTCATGTCGAAACCCAAAAAGTTAAAGTGCGAAGAGTCAACCGGACGAACGCCAAGGGTAGTAGTTCGTAATAGCTATTCAATCCCTGATATGGGAATTTCCGAACATAGGGGCACCCTAACATAATCCCTTAAAGAGTAGAATCCCTATTACAAGGACCCCAAAATGAGGTACCCATAATTTTCGGAAACTCCCATATTTGTGGGCGCAGTGGCAATGACTCCGGTCGGGTTTACACTCGCAAGATTCGGAGGCCTCAAAAGGTGGGATGAAGGTAGGCGGGATATTCCCAAACAAGAGTCCTTGTATAAAGGATCCGTATACCTACCTTCATCCCACCTTTTGAGGCCTCCGAAAGATATACTTATGCGGTATAGAATTAGAAGCCATTAAAAAGCTGGAAATCCGACAGCCGCAACCCTGAAGACGCGTAATGTAGAGGGACTCCCAACACTATTTGTCCGTAATCCGGTTTCCGACGTTTTGGGGTTTACTTCACGTGTCTGACCAACTTGACTGACAAGCCTCTTGAGGTAACTTGTTGGAAGAGCTGCCTTACGAAGATTGCCGGGGCTTCCATACATGGAGGATGAAGGACTTAGTAAGGTTCAGAATAAAGCAGTCATTCTCATGAACTACTTATAACCCCAATGAAGTTTCGTATAACCTGGTTTGCTGAGTCCCACGATCCTGCAAGTAGTAGCTGGCACTTTCCTTTTCCTTCTTTAGGAGCTAACACGCTTGGGAGTTTGACTTGCCTGAAACCCTAAACCCTTAGACATTAAATCCTTCTGAACACCTTCTTGAAGTCAGACTTTGTTTTTTTGGTGTTTGGGGTTGAAGCCCTCAAGCCTAAGTCTAAGGCCTTAGGGAGTTGATAAGCGGTTTGTAGAATGTAGCGTGTAGGGCTTAAGTGTTGCAGGGCTTGCAGTCGAGGGTTTAGAGCTGTTTTTTAGAACGTAATTTTTATGATTAGGGCTCAGGGTCTATAGGTCCATAAGAGCGATAGTAACGACACCCAGAAGACTAAAAGTGTCAACGGCCAGCCAAGCCCGCGGCTTCCAGATGGCCACCTTTTTGAAGAAAGCTTTGCTCCAGTATGGAATGAAAGGCCTGCAGCTCAAAGTCTTAAAAAAGGGGCCTTAATAAGTAGGATGGGGCTTGGGGTTTGGGGCCCATTATACTATAAGTAGAACAACTAAGGCTGCCTTTGCGTTTTATCAGAGTCTGAGTCTACTGGCTCTCTGAGCAACATTGATGAAAAGGATCATCTTCCGCCGAACAAAGGAAAACATACAACATGCTAAAGGCCTACCTCTAATGCAGTGGCCTCAGTAACTAAGGTTTGTGTTTTACTTTTTAAGATTTAGTCTTCAGGTTTCAAAATCTCGTTTATGAGGCTCGTAGTACTGCCTTGTTGGGGTTTACAGGCCCCTGGAATCAGGATCATACCTTAGATTTTGTGCTCTGTACGCTTCTTTCTTGATTGATTTACGGTATATACTCCTCTTAAACAATTACTCCAGGGCTGTGTGCGCTGCGCTGTTCTTCAGCCATCCAAGTTTTTCAGCACAACTCTAAGCCTAAATACAGCAATGCTGTTTGAGGTTCAGGGGCAAACGTTTTGCCTGCGGAGTTACGGAGCAGGCTGCAAAAAACAAGCTTAAGCACACTTGGCACCACACTACAAATCCTCTTCCCTTCGAGCCTGCTTGTTTGGATATGAGGCTTCAAGTTTTAAGTTAACCCTAGACCTGCAGTGCACGAATCTGAACCGGGATCCCGGGCACTTTTTTTCACAGGCTGATATGCATCTCCCGTTTGGAGTACCAGCCCCCGCAGTGGGCCCGCCTCACTCGAGGGCAGCACACCACCGGGTCGTCTTCTGCCAAAAAAACGCAACCTGCAGGCAGGGACTGACCCACCCCACACCCGGCACACCCCCACGACCTACCTGCGAGCCTCCATGCGAGATGTAGGAGAAGCGCAGACGAATGAGGCGCGGTTCTCCCCATATTAGAAAGAGATGCTCCAGGTCGGCCTTTGAGATCTCGCCCTGAGCCGGCCGGGATTGAGAGCACCACTCCTCCGCATGGGTTCCGTTACTACAAGTAGGTTTCTGAGGGGACTCTTTTGTATTCTTTTGTATCCTGAAAATACTGCAAGCTGTCATCGATCATGTTGTTGGGTCTACGATGCTTATTCAGAAGTACCTGCCCCAGCCCGTGATTCAAAACAAAAACGACTTCGGTGTCTGCAACCTTAATTGGTGAACATGGAGTGCATGTCTCACGCAAGGAGATCGTCCGCGAGCAAAGGCAAAGCCCAGGTCGTGCTTTTCTCTGTCGGGGGTAGAAGCCGGGGTATTCTGAGTTTGGGATAGGCAAGCCCTGAAGCAGTTAACATCCCTTCCCTGTCATCCAGTCTGTCTGAGGCCACTGCGTTTGCAAGCATGACGTCCCAATTTGGGCTATCTGTTTGTGTTGCTGCTGTGGCGGCTGCTGCATCGGCTGCAAAAGCTCGTCGACGCAGGAAGGCAGCAGGTGGAGAAAGTGCCTCCACGCACACACCCGAAGCGGCATACCTGATATATCTTTTGTTGGCTCGTGCAGCGGAGCCGCACGGGCACTGGTGCCGCCCGAGGCTGGCCCCTCGTTACAGAGAAAGTGGAGATCAGTCTGACACCTTTGCCGTAGCACATATTCCCGGGCACCGGGCGGACGTCGCGGCCCGCCGCGCGGGCCGCGCTGGACGCGGGGCTGGCCCCTATGATCGCAGGGGAAGCGGTAAGCATCGTCCAAGTACCCCACCCCCGCAACCGGTCTAAGCAAGAAAGTCCTACATACCTAAAAATTCATGGCATCTCACGGGATGTTGCCATTCGCCGCGTGTTGGCGGCGAGTGCGGTCCTGAATACGGCATAGCTCAGCGATCTCAAAAGGAGTTTCTCATGCTGCCATCACCGTCGACAGCCTTACCGAGTTCTTCGCAGGACGCAGGCCGAAGTTTGGTTGTCAGCGAGACCCGGAGCATTCCAGCACACCGAGAGCCGCACGCGCACACGCACGCACACGCACACACTGTAAAGTAGAACTGAGCACCGTCCGATGGGCTCGTGTCATGCACTGAAGTTCGGTTCGGCCGAGAGCCCGGCGCGTCTTGACAAAAAGCAGCGACCGCCGCCAACCTGCCAGGACACATCGCATGCTAAGACCGAACCCCTGCAAATGATTGCACGCAGACGGAAATCGATGTCAGGATCACGGGGAAGTGCATCGACGGACGTATGCCAAACCCGGCTGGCGAGTCCTGCAGGTCCCCATGTCAGGCCACGCGGATCAAGACAGCTCGTTCACAGGGACTGCACAGGGAACACATAGGTACGCGTCGGCGCCGAGCTGTTATACAGCCGGCAGGTTTCGGCCGCTTGGTATTACGAGAGCCGGCGGTGGACTCCACGCCCGACACATGTCACTCATACTACTTACTTGCAGACTCCTGGGATTCTTGCGTCTGATCACTAAGGTTCGGGGTCTTGGCAGACGGACGAACTGGAGACTAGAGCTCTCATCAATCTGCCACTCAAGGTCCAATAACCGGAGAACAGATGACCGAATCAAGACCGTGCAGTGGGTCATCGATTACAATGAATGCACACTACCAGATAGGTTGTCACGAAGACAGCATCGCATTAGTCGGACCCTTCCCGCTCCAGACGGCTTGAGACAACCTCTTGCATCTCAATTCCTTCGCCCAGACGTATCCCAAAGTTACAGGTAGACGGTCTGTTAGGTCAGCTTCCAGGACCACAAGGGTTCGATGGCCGACTAACACGGGGGTATGCTATGCGTACAACTGAACATTCACGGGCAGCTGAATACCCGTACTGCAGTCCTCGCAGCGGCGTGCGAGTCCTGCATGATTGCACTATCAGGGGTCACCCCATGACGATCACTGAAAGCTGCGGGAGCTACAAGGAATGTACCGGCCTTGTCGAGCTTGACGTCGCATAAAGCGACCCTGCACGCGTCTGAACAACTTGAACCGACACAAGAACGGACCGCCAACTGCCGGCCCGGCATCCGTGCTGTTGCGTCCGCGGCGCGGCACCTGGCCAATGCGACAGGCTCTGTGTTCGGATTCGGGCACACACAGAGCGGATTGACACATCTAACAGACTCGCCGGAAGAACGCCAGTGCTCGCGTCGACCAAATCACCTTGGAACAGACGTCGCAAAGGTCGGCCTGGGCTTGCAAGCTATGCCCGCGGCTCTGTTCTGTCCGTGGAGCGCTCTTCCTCAGCACGAATACCCATGTTCAGCTCAGGATCTCTCCTCATATGGCGGGTATACTCGCTGGCCAGACCTCCGTTTCCCGTATCTCGTCTCCACCCTCCGTCTGCTTATCCACTCGCCCCGTCCTCCCTCCGTCCTTTAGTAAACAGCGACACGGTTTAGGGTTTAGGGTTTTTAGGGTTTAGGGTATAAGGTTTAGGGTATAGTCCTCTAAGGGTTCTTAAAGGGCTGTTTGGGGAGAAACCTGAAAAGGGCCTTCTTCTATAAAGTACTGGGGGGATACCTTATAGGGGGGTTTTCATAAAATACCCTTTAACTCCATCGGCTCCCAAATCAGAGGTTCTACTTTCTGGATCCTCGGGTTCGCAGGGCAGTAAGTAGACTCAATTCGACAAAGCCGCCCTTGCTCCCCTTTATCATCTTCGCAAAGATCATGTAATTGAAGAGCTTGCGAGCGTTGATCATGACGGCCCTCTTCTCGCCGCCAGCGTCCGTCAAGACAGCCACTCGAATCCAAAGTTTGAGGTTTTAGGGCTCAGGAGGAAAAGCCATGGCCTCCTCACGAGTGAGGCTCGTGGTTCCCAAAGGAAGGCCTTGGAGAGAGAGGCTTCGAAGAGGTTCCAGGGCTTAGAGTTTAGGACCCACCAAGTTTCCTCGCGAGTCCAGGCACGGCGCGCCCGAATCTCCTGGTTGGGACCCGGCCGTGTGATAGTGAGCTCCGGTCATGCCTGGGACGGCATTGCCCATCGTGCCGGTAAATTTGCAAAGCCTCATGACTCCCTGCTCCGCATCATACCTGTAGCCGCAAGTGCAAACGGCGAGTTCCGTCAAAAAGTTGAATGACAACTTTTTGGTCTTGATGCCAAGCTCAGACGCGATCGTCTTGTCGCGCATGAACCCTAACCCCTAAACCCTAAACTCTAAAACGAGAAATCACGGGTAACTCAGAAAAAGCAGGCCCAGGGGCCCGACCATCCTAATGCCTGAGCCTCGAATTCTAGATTTGAAGACCGAGAACTCACTCAAACTCTCTTCTTCCTTCGTGTCGGGTATCATGGGGACCTAAAGGTTAACCTTTTTGGTTATATAGGGATTATATAGGGACTATGTGAGGGACTATACTACCCCAAAAAGGTTAAAGGCTACCTCCTCTACTACTAGGTCTTTAGTCTTTCTAAGATGTACTAGATGTCTAAGGCCAAACAGTTTAAAGTTCTTTCATTGGCTATCACGCTAAACCCTAAGCCCTGAATCCCTTAAACCAAAACAACACAACCTCTTGGAGATTGGTTCTTCGAGTCTTGCACTGGGGTCTCAGAAAATGAGGCTTAGGGTTTAGGGTTTAAGGTCTTAGCAAACACTTGCCCCCAAGACAAACCCGGAGAGTCCTCTACTTGGAGGCCCTTTTGACTTAGTAAGTAGGGTTAGTAAGGTGGGTTATGGGGAATATAATGGGGTTTCTAGGGGATACTAAGTAGACTTACTAAGTCAAAAGGGCCTCCAAGTATCTCTCACTTGTTACGTAAGGTTTTCTTGTTTTGACTTCTCAACTCTTCTTCATTTGAAGATGCTGGGCTCTCTGAGGACGCCGAGTAGTAGGCCCCTTTACGCCAAACTAGGGTAACACCCCCGCGCCTAGAAATGAAGAAGCCCAATCCAACACCTTGTAGAACCCCTCGACATCTCAATTGATATCCTGATGTCAATAAACCTCCCTCCCCCGTCATTAACTCGAAAGCTAATTTCAAGCATCTCCTCCCGCTTCCACGCACCATTAACCTCTGTATTCCACGGCCTCGTCGAGAAACTCCTCTGCATTGTACCTTGGACGGAAGGTCCACAACGTTTAGGGACCTATGAAGCAACCCTCAAAGAACCAAGAACAGGGGAACTGAAGGTTAACCATTGAAACTATACAGCAGTTATAGTTCCCCAAACCGTCAAAGGTTACCTACTCTGCTACTCGGAGAACCATTGAAGGAGCCCCCTGAACCTTAAACCCTTATAAACCCTAAATCCTAAACCATAGAGTGACCCTAAACCATAAAACCCTAAACCCAAGGCCCCTAAACCCTAGGCCCAAAGCCCCTAAGCCCCAAACCCAAAACCCAAAACCATAAACCCTAAGCCCCTAAACCCTAAACCTTAAACCCTGGATCCTAAACCCTAAACCCTAAGCCCCTAAACCCTAAACCCCGGATCCTAAACCCTAAACCCCTAAATCCTAAACCCTAAACCCCTAAACCCTAAACCCCTAAATCCCTAAACCCTAAATCCTAAACCCTAAACCCTAAACCCTAAATCCTAAACCCTAAACCCCTAAACCCTAAATCCCAAACCCCAGCGTGACCCTGAACCCTTGGGGTTGAGGGCTTGGGCTTGCTTGGAGGGTCGGGGGACTGAGTAAGGGCTCCTTTAAAGGGGATTATAAGGGTTCCTTTAAAGGGCTCTATAGGGGTACTATAGGGTTTAGGGTTCAAGGACTTAGTAAGTAGGTAGTAAGTAGACTTATAAGTACCCTAAAAGGGACCCTAATTGGGGTTATGGTACGTATAAGTCCCAAAAATAACCAGTTACTAAGTCCCCCGACCCTCCAAGCAGACCCCAGTGGGGGACGTCCCCCAAAAACATGACGACAAGTATCTCCGTTTTAGGGTTTTGGGTTTTAGGGTTTAACGTTTTAGGGTTTTTAGGGTTTTAGGGTTTTGGCGTTTTAGGGTTTAGGGTTAGTTTTAAATTCGGGTCCCCTTGTGGGTCCCCACAAGGGTACGCACCCTTATACAAGACCCTAATCTAGAGAAATTTCCAGATACGCCGTGCAGCTTGCGGGTTAGGCTGACTGAAACCCAGAACCCTTTTCATGCCGAAACCTTTTCGTCTTTGCTTTTAAACCCACGCATGCCGGGGTCGTCTCCGATCCATGCTCCAACTTGCTGGAGTTCACTCCGGGGTACTCAACTATCATAGCCAACCATGCAAGGTTGCCCTAAACCCAAAACCCAGAACTGCAAACCTTAAACCTAGAACCCTAAACTCGAATCACCCTCAAGCCTAAACCCAGAACAAAGGACCCAAACCACAAAACCTGAACTCCAAGCCCAGAATACCATGACCCGAAACCCAGAACCCGAAACGCAAACCCAGAACTGAACAAATCCAGGAGCCTGGTTTAGAGTTTCCCCCAAAATAGGGGTGCATACCTTATTTGGGGTCCGTACAATAAGGCTCCTACTACTTATAGGCTGCTATACTCGGGTCCCCTATTTTCGTAGTGTAGAGAAACTAAATGGGCAGATTGGGATTTGGGGATGTATTGTATTCTAGTTGTACAACACGGAAATGTTTGAGATATGTTTTTCAGACCTCTGTAGCTAGGATACCCAGTAACCTAAGAATAAAAAGGCCTCTCTTTTTGGTATTGGGTAACATTATAAGGAACCTAGGACTACAAAAAGGGAATAAGGGTACTACTGGGCATCCTAGGTAGACATCGGAGGTGCTGGGATGCAGAAGCTAAAAGTCTTCCAACTATTGCTGTTAAGCCTATACCTAGTAAACGCAAGGCTACCTGCAAGCCTTAACACTGAAATCACATCGTAGAAGGCGACAAATCCTTATAGAACCCCCTAGATAAGCACCGCCAAGAAACCTTTTGCCAGCTTCGTTTGCCTCCATGCTAAAGTGGCTTACAAGTACGCCTTACGACTTAAACTGTGAATCAACCCCCTCCTTGCACCTTGAGCTTGAAACCCTGCATTTCGGGCTCCGACCCCACCGTCTCATCACACCCCATGATAAAACGGACTAGTGACTAGCCAAGACACCCTCTCCAACAACACGACCGTGCAATTTTACATATGTGGTTCCATAGTCTAACTTGCAAAACACTCTTTTAGAGCACGTTGACGGGGTCTAATCCTAAACCCTACGCCCTGAACCGCTGAGTCTTGTTTTTCTGCCAAGCTGCACGGGCAGGATGATTGACACTTCGGGCGCTTTGCCGGCGCCATCCGTCATGGCGCAGGGGGCTCGCCAGAATTCAGGATTATACTTACCCTGACCAAAGTCAAAACTCTAAGCCCCTAGTGGTCTCAGATCTGGGGTATTGTACCCAGAGACCGGACTAGGACGCATACATTAGAAGCTGCCCCCACCCTGTAGTAGTGACTATAAGGATTATATGTTCCTATTATACCACTATTACAGGGTGGGAGCAGCTTCTAACGCATACATGTTTAGCTTTGAAAGGGAGCTCGGCGGCATGGGTCAACGGGTCGAAGCCTTGGGAGACTGTCGACCTCTTACTTAAAGGATCATGGGACTTAGTAAGTGGGGTTATAAATAAGGTAACTATACTTCTAAGTACTTGTAACCCCAATTAGGGCACTTATAACCCTACTTACTAAGTCCCATGATCCTCCAAGTACTCAGATTCCGAATCCTCCTTGCTTCAGGGCCATAGACTCGGGGATCATCATCCCTCTTTGCTTAAGGGCCATACTAGTAGGATTGTGGCTGAAGAGCAGCTATGAGGTTAGCGTTTCTTGGGCAGAGCTTCCATGCCACAGTTGTTTTGCATGGGGGCTTTTACGGCCTCAGCGCATGCTTCTGCGGTTCACAACGATTTCGAAGGCTGGGTGAGGGGCCTGGAAGCGGCCAGATCGGGGGCATAATCATTAATAAGTTAAGAAGAAAGTGCTTTGATTTTTTGTCGGCTTCTATAAGACTCAATGTAGGGAGCGGGGCAAAACATCTACATATGACCCCGTATTCTAGACGACGGTTTAGGGTGTAAGCGTGCTTTCGGCATCGAAAGTTTTAGAACTCTCTACAGCTACAGGATTCGAGTCTTCTGAAAAGGGAAGTGCAACGAAGCAATTAATGAACGCCGACGGTGGACGTTTCACGACTCCGTTAAAAATCTCTCTTACTGCAGAGCCTGGCTTCAGACAAGGCAGCTTGAGCAAAGGGGGGTACATGGAAAGATCTGTGGTGCTTTTCTGGATAGTGGTTCGCCTCCTGCCCAGAAATTCCTCAAGGAATAGATCGTACGGTTGATGATATAAGTCCTGCATTGTCCTTGATAAAGAATATACCAGAATTCCCACAGTCTAGGGTCCTTAAGGTAATGCAAGATTTGTATCATCAACCGTAATGACTAAGGATAAGGAGTTTGGGAGTTTGCAGAGGCTTTGACATTGGTGAAAACGAGAACCAGGGCAGCCCACACGCAAGCCCGCACTACGTAGGTTCTGGGACTCTGCTTCCTTAAAAAGGCCTCATAAAGTCCTTATCACAAGGACCCCGAGGGGGGTAAGGGGGAAAGGGGTTGGGGGGACTCTACTTCCTTAAATAGGCCTTATTAAGTCCTTCTTATGGGTACTAAGGCCTCCTACCCCGCGCCCCCCCCTACCCCCCAAAGGGTCCTTATGATTTTTGGCACTGCTATGCATGTCACAATCAAAATGACACGCAGACCGAGTCCCATGCCTGGTCTAGCCTTCCTAGAGACTCCAAACCCCCTTATTTCCGGAATGTACAGCCAATTGCACCGGGATCCTTTTGATTTTCGATCTTGTCGTTGGGGATTGACATGAAATTACACACTGGATAAAGAGTGTAAGACTCTGTGTCGCAAAGCATCCAAAGCATGCCATCATTCAGCCGTCCACCACTAATCTACTTGCCCGAGTCCTGCGGATAGGTTTTCGGTCTGCATTTCAACAAATTTCTATCTGAGTGCAATGTTGCTCTAATCAACCAAGACAAAACAAGCTCTCTAAACCCCAAACCAAACACTCCGAAACCTTGGTCCCTAGGCTAGGCCCTATATCCTAAACCCTATAGTCCCTATCCCGAAACCCTAACCCCAAACCCGAAACCCTACAATCCCTAAACGTCCTCTTTCCTTAAGTCAAAGGGGAAAAGGAGGGACCCTTAATAAGGACCCCTACCATGTAATGGGCTATGTAATGGGTATCTAATAGCTATATTAAGGGTGTATACCTAGGGGTCCTCATTAAGGGTCCCTTTTACCCTTGGACACAGTCTACCTTCGCTGATCTGCACTCCCAAAGGGTCCTATGTACCGATATAGTAGAATGTAGGGTTTCCATATTAGGAATTACTAGTATGAGTTAGGGAAGTATTCCCCATAACAGTACATAGGCTCCTTTTACCCTTGGATTAAGGCGTCGGGGGAGAGCTCCGGGCTAGGGTCCGCACAGCCTGAGGGGTCGACCTCGTGGAGTCATCGTGTTGATCAGCGGTTTAGGGTTTAGGGGCTTAGGGGCTGAGGGTTTAGGGGCTTAGGAGTTTAGGGGTTTAGGGGTTTGGGGGCTTAGGGGCTGAGGGTTTAGGGGTTTAGGAGTTTAGGGGTTTGGGGGCTTAGGGGCTTAGGGTTTAGGGGTCCAGGTGTCACAGTTGAGGGATTTTGGAGGTTGAGAGGATTAGGGCTGGTGCTTCAGGGCCGAGGGTTTGACGGTGAGATTCTAGCCCCGGGCCTTTGGGTTTGTGTTGAGACGGCTATATGTGCCCTTTTTGGTTTAAAGGGGCTTATTAGGGAACCTGAACCCTCAAAAAGGGAATAAGGGCCTACTCTGGGTCCTAGGCTTTATGTGGTTTGAGTTAGTGTCTGCTGTGCGGGCGTTTGTCTTCTATTCAGCAGCATTCAGAACTGCAATAGGCTTTCGAAGATGCAGAGAGGGAAGCGGGTTACTGCTGTTCGTCTCTATGCAGGCGTCTGCACCAAGTCTAGGAGCATAATCTCGAGGAAAGCCACGGTGCCTGCACTTCACACCACAAGACGACTTCTTGGATGTTGCTGACACCTTTGCTGTGCAGCACAGCTTTGCTAATTACAAACCTTTAACCAACAACGGACAGGTCTTCTTCTTCTTCATCATCGTCGTCGTCATCGATATTATCACCAGCAGCACCGTGTTTCTCATTAGAACCAATGAAACTTTGAAGCTCTCCACTATTCCAGCATTAAGCTCAAGTCGCGCAAGGTCACCGCAAGTCCCGAAAGGATCTACGAAGGCCAGGCGAAACACTTAGACCTGGTATCGTTGAAGACTAAAACCTGACTGCTTAAACCCTCTCAGCCCGCGAACCTTAACCGGCGAAGCCCCAGGACCCTGGAAGTGCCCCTTTAGTTAGCCTTGTGCTAAATGCTACAGTCATATCTTCCCCCGAGTAGTAAACTCTCCACTCCAAATGGGTAGTTGTCAAAATTAGGGTTCCTGTTTGGGGTACCCTAAATACGAGGTGCCGTATTATCTTGAGGGCACCCGAAGATTAAGCCCCGATGTTTGTTGAAGTGAGCTTTGCACTCATGGTAAGCTTTAGCATCTTGTGCTGTATCCTAACCTTCTTTCTTAGGCAGGTCGCAGACCCTGCAGCCCCACATGCCAGTGGTTGCTGCAGCCTGGAGTTTCCGGCAATGCCGGCAACCGCATGCTCCCTAAACCTATTAAACTCTTAGAGGGGAAGGAACTCAACTCAAACGTTCTGGCACACACTCGCTCTTGCATTCGTAGGGTTTCGGATGATGGCATATTTCCTAAACCTAACGTCGACGAGAGAGAGAGAGAGAGAGAGAGAGAGAGAGAGAGAGAAAGAGAGTGAGAGAGAGAGAGATCGCTTCGATACTCTAATGTAGGAACCTGATTAAGAAACCCTGGGCCTAAAACCCCCAAAATAGCAGAGTTCATACGAGGAACCCGAATAAAGGCCCAAGGTTTCTGAATCAGGTTTCTTCATTACCCTCGAATAGGGCCCCACAAAAGCACATAAGCAAACTCCGGATAGGGAAATCCCATATAAACCCCTTTATAATGAAGCCCAATAAGGTAGGGATATCCGTAAACATGCTTATGCTTATGTGCTTTTTGGGTCCCCGATTGAAGGATCCCTAGGGTCCCCTTGAAATTTGTCTTCGGGCGCATTCCGACCCAAATGCCCTCTCGGAATGAGGTTTTCGTATTAGGCTGAGTTATACTACCTGGACCCTAAAGAACCTAATTACCTTTTCAGAGTTCCTTACTATGATTTCCTTATATAAGTCCTTAGTAGGTTCTTCAGGGTCCAGGTACTCGTATAATTTACAGCTACCTTCTCAGGCTCCTCTCCAATTGAGCGCCACGCGGTGAGATCGGCGAAACCACCGAGGGCTGCAGCAAGCGCGGCGCACCCTTTCGGGATTTAGGACTCAAGGGCATCGATTAGGCGCTGAGGTTTAGGCCCTCCACACATGACGAGCGAGTGTTTGGGGATGTGGCGCTTATGGCTATCCTGCTTGCTCCACTACCTTCACACAACTACTTGACAGAATATCTGTGTTCACAGGAACTAAAAACTCCAACAATCCAATCTAGAATACATGGCACCCGAAAAACCTAGAAGTCGCCCCCTTGTCTCGCCCACATAGGAACCGTAACTCAGAGTCCAAACATCAAGTACTCATCTACTTCCCTAACATAAACGAGCCCTTGCAGTTACCAATTACGCTAGACTCAAGACCCCTATATCTTTGAATAAGGCGATTCCAAACATGACCCTTCTGATCCACCGGACCGGCATACATCCTAAAGTTCAGGCACAGCTCTTCATTGGACAACCCAGACTACCCAGACCTCTTGAATGATGACAAAAAAGCCGTCACAAAAGCAATCCTACTATTAGCCGGCTGAAGACAAACCTTTTTCAGAAATTCTGCTTTTTCAGAAACTGAAACTCCAAGATGCTGAACCTACCGATGTTAAAAACGAGGAGATCACGTCGAAGGACCGGCCTGAGCTTGGTACCCGGCATAAGGCATGGCTCCTGAACACAAGTCACGCCGAAGTAACATAGAGGCCTTTGTAATTAGAACAGGGCTTTGGTGCCTATTATACTATAATCACAGTAAGGAATCCCCAAAATAGTATTGGTTGCTAATTATTTAGACCTCTATAGTAGGTCTCGGGATTTAGACTTTCCAGTTTAGGATCTCACGGTGCATGGCCTCCGGGTTT